AAACAAATACAAATACATAATGCAAATAATACAAATACACAATACAAATAATACAAATACATAATACAAATAATACAAATCCATTATACAAATAATACAAATACAATAAAATAAAATAAAATAAAACATAATACAATTACATTAGGCTCATGACAGCAAGTGACATATTTAAGGTAAGTGACAGAAAGATTGGCACCCGCTGATTTCAGGCAGCGCATCGGAAGGAGCGTGGCACATGATCGCATCAGAGACGTGATCAAAATCACCCGCTTTAAATGTGATGCATGGAAGGTTTCAGTTCCGTGTGGCTGCTAAGCGCAGATGGAGCTGATTCCTCCTCGCTGAAGTGCCGCAGCAGGGTGGGCATTGCAAGGAGGGCGGAGAAGGGGGCTGTTCTCTTGAGACTCACAATCCCATCCGAACTCCTGGATTAGAAGCTGGTTGCGATGCTCCTTCCTAGCATTTTTCTCCTGGGAGGTGCTTCCTCCACCCCGTGTTGTAGGCTAGCAGGACAGATTCGGAATCAGGCTAGCTGCGTCCGCTGCCCTTGAGGCTCGCCAGTGGTGATTTCGAGGTTGCTGGCCCTATTCCTAGGCCGCCGGGGTTGCCACTGCCTTGGGTTCCTCTTCGTGGGCTCTGCCCATCACACACGTGGGTTTTGTGTCTTTGAGCGGCAGCTGCAGCAGTTCCCTGGGAGGAAGGGAGAACAAGAGCAGAGCTCCATCAACATCCAGGCGGCCACAAGTTCCCCATCCCTGTTAGACAGAAGCAGGAGCAAGAGAAGCTTTTTCTCCAAATCCCACGAAACTTTCCAGCCAGAACGGGCGCCATTGCCCAAGTTTGCCTTGCCCAGACCTTGCCGCTCACTCCAGTCTCAGCAAAGTCTTCCCTCTAATAATTAAAACCACCGTTGTTTTGTCTCTGTTGTGCATTCCCCCATAAAGTTGCCAGTTCTGCCTCTTCTTAACTTCACACTGCAGCATGAGACCTTTCCAGATGCCCGCCTGGATGTTTTCTCCTGTCTCTCAAGAAGGAAAACGGGCAGGTTGGGGCTTGGCCCAGTTGTGAGTCACGACTAGCTGCCCGAAGTCTTGTATGGCTGGGCCTCGCTTGTGGTCCCCTCTAGATTTCAGAAATGATGTAGCTGAAAAGCTCAGGTTCTAGTTGAGAAGCAACTGGTATTTAAACCAGCTTTCTTCTTTGGCAGACCCCTGCACATGATCAGTTCTATGTAGGATCTTTGAGCAATTGCTTTCTTTTAAAACATTTCCATCCTATCTGACAACTCAATCCATCTTCGGAGCAGTGTCCCGGATTCTGTTTGTGCCTCTGCCTTGGTAAAAATGAAGAGTCGGTCGCTGTTTGCTAATCCTCAAACTACAGCAAACCAATTAGCCTCTCCAACATGGCAGTACTTGAGAAGGCGCATTATTTCTGTAGACAAACATGGCTCCTTATCTGGAATGTGTTGCAAAACAGCTGAATCTCCTTTGCCTGTGTGTGACTGAGGCCGCCTCGCAGTCCACACAGCAGTTCATGCCGCAGCTCACAGCTTGACCGGGTACCGAATCCAGCCTCGGAAAAGCTGGGCGTTCTTCTTGCACTCAGCTGCAAACCCATTGCTGCTGTTCCAACGGCCTGAAGGCCTTAGATGTGGGTTTAAAACATTCAGGCCGCTTCTCTCTGCATCTCCTGGTCATCATCCAGAAGATGAGCTCATCTCTCTGTGTGTATAAAGTATGTTTGATTTTTAAAAGGCAGGTATGCTTATGCAAAACCCACGGTGGTCCAGTCATGAGACCGGAGCGAGGAAACTTGTACTCAGATCCCTGTTTGCTTATTCTGTCCCCGGTGACTCATGCAGACTTAACACAACTTCCATTCCCTGATTTTCCCCTCCTGCGGTTAAGGGATGCGTTGGCATCGGCATAACCACAGTTAAGGCTGACTAGCTTACTCACTTAACCAGGATGTAAAGCTTGCTAATTACCCTTCTGGCTAAGTGAGGAATGTGGCTAACCTTAACAGCGGTTGATATCCGTTCCTTGGTTGGGTTTAACCTTTAGAGCTCAGTTTAAGTTGCTGTTTCATCATTTAGAGCTCCAAAGGTCCTATCAGAGGATGCTTGGCTACTGAGATCAGCAGGAAAGGTTATTTTGAGGGCAGAGGCCTGGGATTTGGGCACATGGAAACGGGTTTCTGCCTCCGTCGCTCTCAGTTTCTGGAATGCTTTCCCTTTTGAGTTGCAACTGGTACACACTCCTTCTGCATTCAGAGAGCACCATGGTATTCCTTCAGTAATTTTCCCGCTGTCTGGACCTGAAGTTTGAGCTGGAATTTCTGGAGCTTCCAAAAAAGGTTCCCCTTCCCACTTGCCTCGCTACCTGAAAATGAAATTGTGACTTCTGCATAGTCAAGGGCCTCCCCAAATAGGCAGAGTTAGGCTTGTGTGCCCAAGAGTAGAAAGAGGGGAGCTCTAACAGGGCCGTTGGTTCCTGCGTTTTCCAGAATGCGGAGAGCAGCTGAGCCATAACATTGAAGGTGGTGGGGAAGGATCAAAGCTGGACATTAAGCCTGCCAGGCCTCTTCCTAGTTCCTCTCACTCCATGGTGCATCGTCTGTATTTTGGAAAGGGGGTGGATTAGGACTGGGAGATGGACACTACTAGCATTTGCAAAGCTTCCCCTGTCCGTTCCATATAGGGGGGTTCTAGGAGGGCAGTAAAGGGTCGCACTTTTCCTTTTCCTACTCTCCAGACACCAGCTTCCCCCCAGCTTTCTGGCAGTTAAGTACTTCGGTTTGGAATTGGCCACTAGCCTTGAATCTCAACGCTCTTGTCTAGCAGGGAGGAGATGTAGGTGCGGACAATTGCACTCCTCTTCATCCTCTAGACACCTCCCTTCCATCCCTCCCCCTCAAAAAAAAAAAAAAATCCAGGAAGCACCATTATCATATGAAGTCTTTTGGGCCACTGGACATGCTTGTGGATACATGGTAAAGGAAGGACCCAGCTCAGCAGTGAATTAGCTCCTCTACAAGCAGGTCCCAGGTTTAATCCTGGCGATCCCCAGGTTGTCACTGATATGTGCCACCAAGTCATCTCCAGCTTGGGGCCACCCTATGAGTGGAAGTCCTTCAAAATGTCCTATCTATGCCAGCTCCATTCAGCTCTTCCAAGTTCAAGGCTGCAGCTTCCTTGCTGGATTCCCACCATCTCCTGTTCGATCTTCCTTCCCATCTTCCGCCTTCCACTTTCTCTAGCATGATTGTCTTTTCTTGGGAGTCTCACTTCCTGATGACGTGACGTGTCTGAAGCGGGAGTGCCTCAGTCTCATAGGCAGGGCTAGGAAAACCACAGGAAGCCCCTGCTAACAGTCAAATTCAGCATCAAGAATCCTAACCTTTTGTTTTAGATGGCCACTTTTATCCTCTTAATTGTGTTTCTGACGCAAGCAGAGCCATATTGTCTGATGCACTCTTATTTAACAGGGAAATAAACTTCTCTCCCACTAGATTTCCATTGCAATGTTCCGGTAGTGCTGAACATCGCCGGATTTCTCCTTCCCCCACTTTCCGCATCCAGCAGATGTGCTTTCTTTTCCCCATAATTTTCCCTGGCAATTTATTTTTAAAAATACATTTCCAGTTATATTATTGTGCAAGGTGGATGTAGGAAAAATAAGCAACTCATAGCTTTTCAGATAATGGATTTCCATCCACTGCTTTTTTTGTAATGCTTTTCCAATTATTTATTGGATGGGGGTGGAGTGGCAACTATCTTAAAAGGTTCCATTTCCTTTAAAGATGGAGATTGTAATGTATTTTTCATATTTTAAACACCTGCATGAATAAATTGCAGCAAATTGGCTCCAAAGAAGCTGCAGCTACGGCAGGCTTTCTAAGCAAGCCTGGGATTTTGGTGAAGACCCACTTGGAGGCACTCTTGGTGGGGGCATGAGGAAATGTCTTCTCAGGGGCTGCTCTGGAGCTCCCAGCCAAGAGAGGCCAGCTTGGCCCCTTCCCCGTTGTCTGTTTTTTTAAAAGACAAAGCCATTTCTCAGACAGGCCTTTGAGGTATAAGCTGGTCTGTCACTGAAAGGATCCTTTGAGTGCTGTCTGCTTCTCCAGCGGTTCTGTTTGAATGCATCTGCCTGCAGGTTCTATTTCAATTAAGGTTTTGTTTTGCATCGGTGTTTGTTGATAGCCAGTGTGAGCTTGATCTTGACAGAAAAGTGAATGCATATCAAATGCGATTCTGTCTCCTAGCTGTGTTTGCATATCCCAGGCCACCCTGCTGCAAAGGAGCAGTCCTCTTCAGGGACACAACGCCCTGCAGCTTCTGCTCTTGGGCCCTCACTTCCCCTCTTCTTCGGCTGCCCAGTTACCACACTGGGGAACAGTTCCCAGCTGTGCCTGGGAGTCCTTCGTCTAAATGTCGCTCTCCCCATAAATCTGGGGATTAGATAAACGTCCCTTCTCTGTAACCTTCTCCGTAACATGGGGTGAGGCTCCGTTCCACCCCCACCCCATCGCAGGGGCTCGCAAGCCAATAGAGCGCACTGTCCATAAAGGGAGCGAAAGACCTTACGGTATGTCCCCATATGTCATGAACTTGATGGCATTATTCTCCCATGAGGAGATAATGCTAATCACACACCTTCTGTTTCTGCCGTTCATGAAAGAACTCCCTGGAGGCCGACTTGCCGAGCTGCCAGTCTCACTCGAATGATGGGGGTCCGCTGTGCGCACAGATTGCACATAGAAGCTGATGCTGAATTTCGTAATCTAGCTATTTGGAGTATTTTGTGGAAGTATCTTCTCTCCTCCCCCCCCCCCACTGCTTTGCCCTGCCTCGGTATTCCTGTGTCGAAGCCAAGCTGCATGGCGGGAAATGCCAGGCATCCCCAGTGTGGCACCCATCTTTGAGCGGCCCCTGTGAGGCCAACGACCTGCCAGGCTTAGGCTCAGCTTCGTTTAATGATGATTTAGTCTGTGGCGATGTGGGAGTGCCGAACGAATGGCCTTTGTCCAGAGGGAGGGGTTCCCCTTTCCTACCTGGTTGGTCTGCAGAGGATCTGTGTTACATAAGAGCAGCTCAGACCCTGTTGAATTGTACGGGTGGAGTTTGCTATTCCTGATGGAAGAAACCCCCAGGTCATACCCTAAGGACCGAATTAAACTTGTATGCGGCATATGCACCAGCTGAATAGCAGCAGGCATTTAACCCCCACCGCGTTTACAAAAAGTATTCCAGTTTGTGTTCCCCCCACCCTTCCCTCTTCTCCACCCCGTGGCAGGCATAGAGGTGAAATGCAGGTGGAAGGGCCTTGGGCAGAGACCCTAAGATTTGAATGCGCAAGAACAGGTGACTGGTTCCCAGCCTGTCCAGAGATATGGGATAGGAGACCTGGCAAAGAGCTCCGTCAGAAGCATCGCAGATCTGTGGCTGGCCAGAATAAGCAGGAAGAGGCCAAGCGGCCTGGTCGTCTCCCTTGGTGGTTGCCTCTGTGTTATAAAGAACATTTATTTGCTTAATCGATGGACTTATTAGATTCATACCCCACCTTTTTCCTTAGCACTCAAAGCAGCTTACATCCTCTTCCTCTGCCTGCTCTCCATCGCAGCCCCACAACAAGCCAATCCACAACCAGTTCTGTGCCGACGTCCCAGTGCACAGAGCCTCCATCGCTCCCACTTCCTCCTGTGCGTCCTAGTTTGTTCCAGCCCTGCATTCAGGGGCTCTCCTGGCTCCATCGGAGTCTTAGGTGGAAGAGAGAGATCAAACTACCAGTCCTTGGTGTTCTTGCTGCCCCAAATGGCAGATATCTTCTCCCCATGACTTCACATAGATGTCGAAAGCCAGTATTTGGCTAAGGAAGTAATCTTATTGTGAAAACTGCAAGTGTTTAGCTGTAATTTTCTCAGTATTGCAGGAGGAGAAGGGCAGCAGATGCAGCGGATTCAAAATAAAATCCCTACCTCTGCACTTTCGGAGACGGATTTGTTTGAGGACTGAAAGCTATTCATGTAACTGGATTGGCACAAGTCAGCCAAACTCCCTCCCAAGTTTCTAAGCCAAGTTGCAAGTTGGTCACATTTTGCTGTCAGTGACTTCCAGATTCAGGTCTGAATGGCAAGTACTTCAAGCTGAAGGAAAGGTTGCTTTGCCCCACACGTAAAGCACAGAAAATGGAAGAATTTGAGCGATGAAATGAAAGTCGTATGCCTCGTAGTGGATTGATGCACTAATGTAATGCCAGGCTATGACTGGGTATTAGATGGAGGAGCGTTTAAGGACTGCCAAGCGTGTTGCAGATGAACTAAGCCAATTCATGGGGTTGTTTTACTTATTCTGGCAGTGTGGCCCTCACCTCACTCTTGGTAGCAAACTCTGTTTGGCAGTGTGGCGTCAGGGCATCTTCCCTTTTGTGATGTGGTCCTTTGTTGGCTTGGATATGCCGGCGAAGTTAATCCAGGAAGAAGATGCTGTAACGAGGGGGCAGAGAAGTGCCCCAGAGCAGCGAGGGACTTAGCAGACTGTCCTGCATGGCCCGGGGAAGGCCTGGCATTTTTTAAAAAATGGTTTTTGAAAAAGGTTTGGCATTTAAAAAGGGTTGGGGAAAGTTTTCTTTTGGACTCTTTGCACTGCTGCCAGATTTCACCTCGGCTGTTACTGCTCTTTCATTTGGCATGTTAAACTTCTGTAGCACGGTTTATGCTGCGCTTTATAGTTTCAGTGGTTGGGAACTGCTCAGAGGGTTTGGGCTATTGGACGTTATCAAAATTACGCAATGGAATGAGAGGCCTGCTTTCTGGCCTGTAACCTGAGATGGGGGCAAGGGTTTAAACATATCCCCTGCAGATTGGTAGGTTGAAATGCCTGTCGTCTGAGTCCTGACTAAGTGCTTATCGTATTTCAATTATTAAGAGCCCAAATTAAGTTACTGTAAAGAACATTCTTCGCTTTCAGACGTGGCACATAAAGAGGGGGCTGTGCAAAAGACTCTTCTCCTATTCCTGAGTAGGAGAGGTGGTACTCTTCAGGTCTGCCCTAACTCAGCATCCCCTGGTTTGAGTCCAACGCATCTGGAAAGCACCAAACTGAGGAAGGCTGCTGCTTTGTCATCTTCTCCTTCTCCTATTGCATTTACAACCCAGCTTTTTCCTCTCGTGAGCATTCACGCAGCTCACACAGTTCTGTTCTGTCATAACAACAACCCTGTGAGGTAGGTTGGGCTGTGAGTCTGGTTGGTCAAAAGTCACCAATGGACTTCATGGCTGAGTGACAAGAACCCAGTTTTCCCGAGTTCCCCACACCACACTGACTTACAAATATTTGGTGCTCCCTCGTTAGATCAGCTTTCCCCAACCTTGTGCTTTCCAGACACATTTGGACTGCAACACCCAGAATCCCCCAGTCAGTTGCCCTGCTGGATGGGAATTCTGGGAATTGCAGTCCAAGTGCCTCTGAGGGCGGCCACGAGGTTGGGGAAGCTGCTTTAGATAATTCAAGTTCAGGGACCTGTTTGCCATATTGGTGTCATGTGAGTGTTTACTATCTGCACCTCGGATAGAATCTCGTACCCAACTCATTTTGTCATGTTTGATTCTAAAGCCCACCCATTTGAATATTTTAGTTTAAAATGTAACTCTGGGTTGCATTTGCAATTCTATGGAATGGAATCTTCATTTAATGCAGAAGGGAGAAAAACTGAATTCTAAATAGCTTTCCCCTCTCGTGAATATATTTATGCAGGTGTCAATTTGGTGGGTTGTCTGTTTGTTTGTTTTTAAGAAAACCAAGAATCCTACTAAACACTTTTACATACCAAAAGAAAAGACAGCCCTGCCCTCAGGCTTAAAATCCAAACGCATTTGTCAAACCCCTGTCAAAGTGCTAGCGCTGCTGGTTTAAAATTTGGACGTTGCTGCGCAGTAACGCCAGAATGCATTTTGCTCCTTGTTTGGCACATGAGGTGTTCACCTGCTCGCAAGTGGAGGAGTCTGGATCGGTGCACACACCTTGCATGAAGCAACCTGTGCGGGGAACCCAGGGAAGGCGGCTGCAGCAGTCTGTGCGCAGCTTTTCTCTTTGGCCTGCATGGGTGCAGTTTCTGGGTTCCCAGATTTTTATGGCTCTGAATTAGGGTTTGTTGCCAAGTGCAGCTGGTGGGTACTTCTGCATCCTGCAGAGAAAGACGTTGCACTCAGAAATCGGGGACTGCTCTGTGTACCATCTCGCAATAAACATCTGCTTCTCTCCCTCCCTCAGGCCCTGTTGTTGCTGGGTGGCGTTGCTCTGTCCTGCCTCGCTCTGGATCTCCTCTTCCTCCTCTTCTATTCCTTCTGGTTGTGTTGTCGCCACCGCAAGACAGAAGAGCAGCTGAACGCAGATTGTTGCTGCACCGCCTGGTGCGTCATCATCGCAACTCTGGTCTGCAGGTGAGTCTTCCCCACAGCCGCTTCCTCCCAAACCAGCCGAAGGGTGAGCAAAGAGAAAACAAAGCCACCTGCTCACCTGGCCCTCACCACCGTCTTACCCATTTCCTGGCCCGGACTGAGATCTCTTCAACCGTGAACCTCCCAGCAAGCTTAGATCAACACCTGGCCTTCCCCAAACCCAGAAACTATTGCTCGCTAGGTGCTTCGGTTGGCATCCTCTGCGCTTAAGCTCTTGAGCTTGGGTTGGCTTACATGGACTCATCCATCTCGGGTAGATCGGGAGTGTGTGCCGTTAGTAATAATGATAGCAGCAGCTGTTCCTTTAGGTCATTTTCTTGCTGGGTTTTGGTCCATGTGCAGAATATAAATATTGCTAGAGAATAGCAGGCAAGATCGTCTTAGGAAATGGGTCATACCTTCCCTGCAGGCCATAAGCTGCCTCTGCAGTTGGTGTGTCAGCTTGGTTCAGCATTAGGGCTCTCCAGGGCTCTCCAGGGTTAAGCGAGCTGCAGCCAGGAAAGGATCTGCAGTCGTTTAGGAACCTCAGAGCCCTCCAGAGCCAAAGGCAGGGGACACTATGGGGACAACCTTCTCCAAGCCAGAGGTTGTGGGCAGGGCCACGTTCTTCGGCCTGGAAGGTGTACAAGGACCTGCCCAGAGAGTCTCTCTTGGAGGTGTCCGTCTGCTAGCGCTTCCTTTTATTTTCAGCTAAGCCTGTTGAGAGAGGCGCTGGCGTTTTGCAAGCCTACGACACTGAAACAACATGTTCATCCCAGCAAACCAGCGCATTAAATCCCGCAGGACAATTTGTGGGCACAAGCTAAAGGTTTAGCCATGTGTTTTGCGGCCACCGTGTTCTTTCGATCTGAAGCAACCTCGGAAGCCGCTTCTGTCTGCCTCTGAGTAATGTCTTGTTTTGGTTTCTCCGGATGCTGTCTCTGGGCACTTTCTTTATGCTGTCGTCTGTGGCCCCTTGCCAGTATCATCCGTGGTTGAGCAATGCACTTCTGTTTTATCTCATCAGCCGATCTTCAAGGCAGGAGCTGCCCTGTGCAAATCGTGGGCAGGCCTTCTAGCCAGAGGCCTGGGCCTCCAGGGTTTATGCGGACGCAGGACACGTCCGCCTCTCTGGCCTCTTGCCTGCACGCATCATATGGTGTGGCCTCCTGGCAGCCCATGCCCCTAAAATCTCCTCCAACAGGGCAGTGCCCCAGTGCAGCTTCTTTCTTTCTTTAATATCGCCATTTGAATGCTGCCAAGAGTGGGCTCCTGGGTGGCTTATGACAATTGAAAGAACAGTCTTCTGAAATCAGTAATGCTAAAAGCAACAATAAGACAAAATCATAACCCAGCAAATTAAGATCATTACATAAAATATTTAAAGAAGCATATCACAAATAAACAATATAAACTAAAATAAAATTATTAACTTGGGGGTTGTTAAAAACAGGATCGTCATTAAAATCAACTGAAAATGGCTGGGAAAGAGATACTTCTTCGCCTGGCACCAAAATGGTAACAAGGTGCACCTCTCTGGGGAGCCTGTTCCAGAGATGGGGTGCTCCCACCGAGAAGGCTCTGCTTCTTGCCACCATCCCCCCTTTAGGTACTTAGGGCCCACGCCATGGAACTTCATGCATGTGTGGGGAGGGAGCGGGGGCACATCCTGTGGCTGTGTGCTGAACACCACACGTGTGTGTGTGTGTGTGTGTGTGTGTGTTGGGGGAGGCAATTAGGGTGGTTCTTTTCTTTGCATGTAGGAAAAATGCAGTGCATCATCCATGTAAGGGCAGCCCTTTTTCACATGCGCTAGGCAGGAGGGTGTGATTTGGGGCAAGCACCTGGAGGTCACGGGCAGGGCTAGCCTGTGTGACCCCGTCAACCCCTCATACGGTGTTACACTTTGCTTTATGACTGTGGGATGTGATGGAAGGAAAAGCGCTTTCGGCATGTCAAATAGGAAAGAATTCTGACCCAACCCTTGGAAGCGAATTTGCAGGCCTCTGGTGGTGGAAAGAGGGTGATGACGGGGTCTTCCGGAAAGACACCCAGGTCTCATTCTGGGCCTGACAAAAGCTTGCCACTACCCAGCCCGAATTAGCGGGATCTCAATGCGCAGACCGTGCTGGAAACGGCCAGAGGTCATAAAGTTTTCCTCCGAGAGCTGCATGTGGAGGTAATCTCTCGCTCAAGGCCGTGTGCTCCTCTGCCTAGAAGCAGGCATGCTCTTTTGCAGTGCCAAACTAGCATGCCGTCTTGGGGTCCCGTCCCCCCCAAGATGCAGAGTATCCTTTCAGGGCTTGGCTGTTGCGTGCTTCCTTGCAGCGTGATTTCCCTCAAGTCCCTGGAAATATTTTGTCTTTGCTGCTCAGTTACGCACGAGGGCCTTATCAGAAAAATGAAAACAAAAACGCTGCTTTGCAACAAAAGGAAAACAAAGAAATCTACACAACTGAATGGGGCTCAGTTGACTAAAAAGCGAGTTTATTCACACCCAAGGATTTTTTGTTTTATTTTGACAGAGCAGACTGTCCCTCATTTTTCCACTCTTTTTTGTGGGACAGCGAGGAAGTTTGCTTTGGGTTTGTGCCACGCAAGTTCTTCCCTCTGGAAGGGCAACGGCGAGCTCATTTGCCACCGCACAGCTCAGCTTTCATGGGCGACTTTGTAGAAGTGGCAAATGGGCAGAAATGCTGTCCGGAGAGCACAGCACTGTGAGACAGGTATTTTCGGAAGACACCCTTGGCTGCCCAAGAAGCAACCTCGACCCACCCGAGAGTTCTTCTGAAGCCCTTCTGGACTGCAGATTGCCTTTGTCACCAGACTGAACAGAGGCGGCGCGTGAGCCCACGGCAAGCAGCTCTGAGAGACCGAGGCAGAAGGTCCGCGTCTCAAAAGAGAACAAAATATTTCCATTTGGAAAGGCTTCGTTCTCGCTTGCTCTGAATATCAAGTCGGGCCGGCCTCCAGAGTCCCTGCTCTGCCTGCGCCAAAGAATGTCATTGGCACGTTCTGCTTTTAACGACGTGTGGCTTGTGGGGACGGTCGTTATGGCCGATTTTATGAAGCTCTCGGATCGGACTGCTGTGATTATTCTGTCCTGGGCGAGACTGGGCTTAACCTTTTCCTGGCCCAGGTGAAACGCCACGCTGGATCTGGAGCATTCTAGCAACGGCACCTGCTGGAGAGATTGAAGTATGGTGTAGAGGGTGCTGCTGCGTTGAGGACTGGGCAGCTAGTCTGGACCGATTTGGCAGTGCCAGCAGGTCCTTGGCAGAGCCCTTCAGGGCCTGTGCACATCGAAGGAAAGAGAATTACCTTTCTTGTTACCTGCGCACGAGGCAGCTTCACTGGACCGATGCCAAGCATTCTTCTCCTTGGTCCGTTGGAGCTGTAAGGCGGCCCATCCTCTACCATGGCCAGTGGGCTGGGAAAACCCACCGGCTCAATGCTTCTCTCCATTGCTTGTGGGCCGCAACGCCCAGAATTCCCAGTCAGTGGCCCTGCTGGATGGCAGTTCCGGGAGATGCAGTCTAAATGCCTCTGAAGGCCACCAGGTTGAGGAAACTTGTACACCAACATCAGAACCGTAATGGCCTGGCATTCGTACCCCACCTTTTCTTCTCCGGTGTTCAGTGACCACCCTTCACTTTCAGCCCAAGAATGACCGCTCTGTCAAAAGATCAATAAAATTGGAAAGGCATTCAGCCTGGTTAGGGTTTGCTGTAGACCTCTTGAGATACATCTGTTGTCAGCTGGGGAAATTGCAGATAGCATTGGGATGTAGGGAAAACTGGAAGATTGGATGGACCAGCAGTCCTGGGTGCTTTGGGATCAGATAATGCTGCCGATTGGACCTGTGCTCTTGCAGACGATGTCACACCTTGAACACTGTAGCAGACATAATGTGCAAGCAGATGTTGAAAGATGGCTTTTGCAGTTCCTCCAGAAATAGCACTTCCCCAAGTGTTGAAGAATAAGGTGGTAATTAGATGGGAAAATTAACTCATCCCCAGGAGTAACTTTAAGGTGATGTGTGTGCGTGTGTGTATTTAAAGGCTTCAGCGTGTAAAATTCCCTTTTAATTAAAAATGCCTTGCTGTCACCAGAGTATTAACGTGTAACAAAAAGGCTTTTATGGGTGGTGTGTCTTGTCTTGAATCAGGACAGAAAGAAAAGCTATAGCTGACGCATTTATCAGTTAAATCCACTAAATTGTTGTCTTGCTGCTTCAGTTTCATGTTGAAAAGGAAAACTGGTCCTTATATGGCATCCTTAACTCCACTCTTTTTCCTTTTGGAAACCATCTCCTTTTCACTGTTTTTTTTTAAGTCATGATGGACAGTTATATGGTGTCCAGACTGTCCATGGCTTTCAGAGATTTTTATTTCAACCTGTGAGTACTTGATATAATTCTGAAAACTCCAGTTTCCATTTAAGGGTCTGTAGTAAAGACCTGTGAGAGTGAGTGAGTGGGAAAGAAAGAGGGCTCAACATTCCCAGCCTGTTTCTCCAGTCCCACCTGAGACAACCAGGTGGAAAAGCTGGCTTCATCCCAGTCGAATGTAGGTTGTCATTAAACCATGGATTGCTGATGAAATGTGGCTTGTTGTGAGCAAACCATGGTTGGTAAACCACGAGCAGCCAACAACTCAGAACCCAACAAGAAACCAAGGAGGGGTTTTGAGTGGGTGGTATTAGTGGTTAGTGGTCTGTTATAGCACAGTAACGCACAGCTCAGTAACAGCCCGTGGTTCAGCAAAACCCCACATTCAACCCATTCTGGGCCAACCACATTGCTGGTCCTCACTGGGGACTAGAAACCTCTGTTAAATAGCAGACTTGATACACTACCATGTATTTTTATATTAATGTTGTAATCGACATATTGGCTTGTGTTAATGTTGTACAGATTTTCAGTCTGAAATAACCAATCCCATTTCCTTTAAAGAAACAACTCCCTTTCTGAAGCTTTGTCCTTCAAGTTCCTTGCAAGAGGTGGGATATAATAGTGAAGTCACAAGAACAATACTTTTAAAAAATGTTTTGTTGGTCGTTTGCTGTTTCCCACAGCAAAGAAGCTTTCGTTTCTCCACGTGGCCCGTTCGTTCACCTCCAGCCAACCTCTGTCCAATTCTTAGGAAAACTGTAGGTTATGGCTTTTTTTAATGCATCGGTTACAATCAGTGGGGATTATCTTCTTTATGCCTGACACAAAGATAGAAGCTTATCTCATCATGGGATACGTGCCTTTATTCTCAAGAGAAAGCTCTGTTTAAGAGACGGCAGTCTTAATAGGCTCTCTGCATTTTTTTTTTTTTTTTTTTTGCCCTTGGTCTTATGCCACCCTGTGGGACAATGTTTGGCTTTTCTCTGTCTGGCGGAGCAGCATCTTATACCTCAGAATCTCTCACCTCCCACCTCTGGCCAGGAGGGAACTCTGGGGCTGCAGAAAGCAACCTGAGCGGCGTGGTTGTGGCCCTTCTCTCCTCACCCTTTGGGTAACGCTTGGGGGATCGACCCCTTCTGGAGCCGTGCAAGACTCCCCAGCGCATTTCTCCGTGGAGGGTGCTCTGGGGTTGCACCGCCGTGGGGTGAAGGCCTCAATGCCGTTCTCGTCGCTGCCGGGGACGGGCGCACGGAGGAGATGGCTGCGTGGCTGGGCAGGCCCCTATCCGTCGGCCGTGGACTAAGGTAGCTTGACTCCCCCGAGGCACTGGAGCACGTGCTGCATGATTAGGAAGCTGGCTAAGTGCAGGCTGGGGGGCACGACGGCAACAGTTGGGTGGATGGCGGTGCCCAAAGAGCGCTTCCTGGGGGTTGCTCCTCGGACTGAAGGAGGCGTCTAAGCAGGGCTCCACAGGGCTTGGCCCGGTTCCCTTTTTCTGCAAGACGTTTACTACTGCGCGGCAGGAAGCGATGGGGGCTTGCTGATCCTGTCTGCAGATGACAAGACATCCAGTACTTCTGAAGGCGGAAACAGAATTCGAAAACATAGAAACAGCGCGAGTCGGAAGGGGTCTCCCGGGCCATCTAGTCTGACCCCCGGCTCCAGCCGGTTCCACTCATGGCACGCCTACCGTGTGCATGTCTAGCCTTTCCTTGAACACCCGCACCGATGTTTTCTAACCTATCAAAAAGATCGTGATAGGTTAGAAAACGAGGGAGGGAATAGTCCAGGTTTTGGTTGGACGTCAGGGAAAACTAACAGTGGGCAGAACAGCCATACAATGGAACCAACTTCCCAGGAAGATGGTGGACTCCCTGGAGCAATTCAAGTGCCTGAAACTGAATTCCTGCACGGAGCAGGATGGGATTCGGTGGCTCAGTTCACGCCTTCACCAGAACGGCTGTCTGCTGTCCCTTTCTTCAGCAGGTCCTCGGCATGCGTGGGCCTTTTAACTCTAGATTGCTTCGTTCCTATGCCAGCGGGAGGTCTCTCTGCAGAGGGTTAGCATTCCTGAAAAAAGAGCTAGGTGGAGAGCTGAACATGGGCAGAAGTCAGCATTTCTTTGGCAAACCACAGTTTTTCCAAGTAGACGCACTCATTGCCGCTTCGCACACGAGGCAGGGCTTGGGATACAGAAGCATATTCATGCACTCTGGGCAGCATCTAAGGCGCACATCTTCCACCGCATCTGTCTTCCGGTTCTTGCAGTTTGGGTGTTTCTGGCAACTGCAGTGCTTGTGCGGCAGTCGGCCTGAAGAGCAAGCGCAGGGTTGCCAGTGCTTTCAGAAATGATGCTCGCTTGCTTTGTTCAAAAAAGAGCGATCCTTTGGGTGTCCCATGGCGACAGTGCTTTCTTCTTCTTGGGGGCTTAACAGGGGCTCCTCAGTGGGACCAGGGGAGGGTACGCACCGCTTTCTGAAGGACACCTTGCTCACGATTCCTATCTTTTCCCTAAAAGACGAATCTGCACGGGCGCGATTTATGCTGAACGAGGTCTGCCTGTTCAATCCACACAGGAATTCTGGGCATCCTTCAGCAGGCCCCCAAATTCTCTGTAACCTGTCGGGGTCCTTCGGCAGATGGAAGTAGAAACTGCTGCCAGAACACAGAAGACTTGCACGCCGTGGTGTGAACGAACACCCGTCCCCTTGGTCTAGCACCAAACTAGCTGCATCGAGCGCTGAATCCAGAAAGGGAGCAAAGGAAACCAACCTACCTGCCCCTTCGCTCCTCTACTGCTGAATAGCCCTTTTATTGGTGCTGCATGGTAGGATTATAACGCCTTGCTTGCAGCTCAGGGCATGCGTTCCCTTCCTGCGGAGAGGTGCGGATGCGGGGGAAGCTTGCCTTTTAATCGGCAGCTGCCGGCAGGATTGAAATGTGCAGCGACGGTTGTGTTTTGTCCTTTTGCAGTGCTGGCATAGCTGTTGGCTTCTATGGGAATGGGGAGACCAGCGACGGCATCCACCGGCTGACGTACTCCCTGCGGCACGCCAATCGCACTGTTGCTGGAGTCCACGAGCGGGTGAGTTTCCCCAAAGCTCTAGTTTCCCCAAAGAGTGAGGGCGGGGAGGGTGAGATGGCCGAACCGCACGCTCCGGCTCTTGCCCACCTGTGCGTCGGCCTCTCCGCTCTTACCTGCCTCTCAACAAGTCCTTGGCAGAGTCCATTAGCTGAGGGAGATGCGCTTCCCCCCTTTTCCTCTCCATGTTCTAAAAATATCCGAGCAAGTCAAACCTGTTAAATAAAGTAACGTTCCTCCGCGATAATGCCTGGTTCAGGCGGCTGAATGTTAATGTTTTTCCCCCGCTCCCAAGCAGTGGCCTTCCGAACCACACCGTCGATTCACGACGATGCCTCTAAGAACGGCCTTGCGTGGGGAACGTGGACAACATCGCTCTGCTGGTCCACGGGAGAAGGAATCGAAAGCGCACCATTGGGGTGCGTCTCTGTTAGGATCCGTGCCGCAAAAAGAGCACAGGCATTTGATCTCTTCAGAACCAGGAGGCCAGGATGGGTGGAAGGGTGAAAAAGTACAAACCTTGAGATCTGCCGCTTATACTCAGTCCCAAGATGGAGACGAATGTGTCATTGACAGGTGGTGCTGCTATTAATACACAAGAGTAGGATTTTATCCTGTGCTTCTAGTATCTTATTGGAGGGGGTGTATTTTTGAGAAATGGCTGTGGAGCACCCAGAGAGTTTTGGCTATTAGGCAATATCGAAATGAAGGGAGGCGCCTTGCATTTGGGAGCAGAGGAAGGATGGCTGCTCCCATTTCTGGAGCATAAGGGCCAGCTCTGACTCAGACCTGTCTTTTGCAAGACTGATGAAGAGCTGGCACAGTTTTGGGGGGGTTGTGGTACAGCCAAATAACAGTGTCGTCCGACTGTGGGTTTGGGATTTGTGTGTGTGCACCAGCGATCCCGTCAGCCTGGTATTTTCTGCCGTGACCTGCAAACAGCAACCCTGAAGTTCAAGTCAGAGCCTTTTCCGATCTCTCGACCTGAAATTGTGAAATTGGAATTTATAGGGGGAAGGGGCCAGATTTCTGCAGGTTTCACTGTAAAGGTGTATGTGACATCTTCACTGTAAGTGGAATGCTTGACCCAGTCGGCGCTGTCTCATTCTCTGCCTTTCGAACGCTTCCCAGTTGAAAGCGTGAGCCGATCATGGGAAACCCACCAAATTTCATCCGTGCTCCATTTTGCAGTGAATTATGGTGCCTAATAGAGCAGAGGCGGTTTGGCTTCCTGAATCCAGCCTGTATCTACGAAACAAAGAATGGCCAGGCCCGTTTGGGTGCACATCTGCTACGCGGCTTGGCTGGCTTCGGAATTGTGGCCGAGCGTCCTGAGCCGATCTGCAGCCCGTGTGCTGGCTCCGTGGCAGAACCAACTCAAGCCATGCTGTCTCTGGCCCTGAACGAAGAGCTTTGCTGAAGCGTCACCACCAAAAATCGGGGTCCTCTCCTTTTCAGCAGAGCCACTTCAGCTTCAGATCTGGGGTGGAGGTCCTTCTCCAGGAACCCTCTGTGAGGGCTTCTCCAGAAGTCCTCCAGGAGGGTGGCTACCCGGAGAAGGGGCCCCGGTTTTGGAATACGCTGCCCTGAGAGGCTCGCCTGGCACTGGCACTTTATTCTTTTTGGTGCCTGGCCAAACCCTTTTTATTTTCCCAGTATTTTCAGGATTAGATTGAGATTTTAAGTGGGCTTTTATTGTGTAGAATGGTTACTGTGCTCCAGTTTGTTTCATTGTAAGACCACCCTGTGTCCGCTTGGTAGTGGACAGTACACAAAAGTTTTGAAGAAAGCAAGCAAGCAAGACACTTCTAAGCAACAAAGTCTCCAAAGGCAGATGGAAGCCCTTCATTTTCATTTCTGTCAATCGTGCTTGTAGCTGCTGCTGCTGCTGCTTCTGCAGAGGAGAGTATGAAAAGCAACACTCTAGGAACGGAGATCTCTTCTTCCCCAGCTAGTCCTTTTCTCGCCAGCAAGCGCGCGAGACCTGAGTGTGTTTCCATGACCACACGCATCGCCAAGTGCTTGCAAGACAGTGTCCTCCGGGCACACCTCTAGCTTTGCACCAAGCTGCGTTGCGAGTTTTGAAACAAGAAATGTCGAGTAGCGGCCTCCTCGGCACCAGCTCGCTGGCCCTCTGCTTTGCTTTGCGCTCATGAGGAGGCGTCTCGCTGAGCATCGGTCTTGATCCACAGGTGTTCGACACTGCCGTTGCTCTGAACAAAACCGCAGAGCCCAACCTGGGGGACCTCGAGGCCATCTTCGCCAAGCATACAGATTACCTGCGTATTGTTCAAAAGCTCCAGGGACTCCTGGACGAACTCGTGCAGCAGACAACAGAGATTCCTTTCTGGAAAAATGACGAGGTCTCCCTGGAAGAGCTGGCGATTCATATTGACCTGTATGACTGGTACAGGTAAGCCGTAGGTATTCTTGCGCGAGGTTTTATGCATTTGAGGAAGCTCCTGGGTTTTCCACTCCCCTTCACATAGAAGAGTTTATGGTAATCATTTAAATCTGAACAGTAGCTTAGTAAGGTTGAGATGGCTTGCAACTCCCAGCAAAAGAACTCAGCTGGGGTTTTACACCAATGGAATCTTGTTTTTTACCCAATGTCCTGTGGATCTTTATCCTGGGTAAAGGAATAGAAGTCTTGTCCAAGGTTTCTTTGACTCCTTCGTGCATCGGAATTGGCTGTCTTGACCGTATCTTTCTGGTTTTCCTATAGATGGCTTGGATATTTGGGTCTACTCTTATTCCACGTCATTATCTGTTTACTGGTGCTATTTGGACTAATTAGAAACTCAAAGGCCATTCTTATAGGGTAAGTTGACATGGAAAAAACATTGTAGTATATTAAGATAAATGACTTTCAGTCCTCATTTCTGTGCCGTGTGTGTGTTGCATGAACTATTTTGAGTAAATGTTCGAGGTGATTTCAATCCAGACATTTCTGAAAGGGAATTGCTTCCTCAGAAGAACATGTTTTTGGGAACAAAATGATAAAATTGCTAAATGAAGGCATTGCATTGCTTTGTCGCATGCAGAAGAGCAAAGAAATTCTTACTTTTTGATCTGTACACTTGATTACTAATGCGAAGACCGATAGCTTCCTGGCTGCTAGGAAAAGCATCTTGCACAAAATAGATTCACGGGATGCAAAGTTATCTTTGTCAAACTCCTTGTTTTGACAGGCTGGCATCTTCCATGCATTTACGTGTGTCGGCTTTTGTTTTGACTCAAGAAATCTTAAGTAGTTATGGCTTGACTTGGAAGGATGTGCAAAGTTCTCATGCTGTTGGTTTGTCTGGGGTACCAAATTTCAGCAGATCTGAAGGCAAAGTAAAGATGCTGCCCTCTCCCTCTGTGACCTGGGAGGAAGTTCTATTGAACTCGATGGGACTTGCTTCCAAGTAACTATTCTTAGGATTAGGCTGTTCATTGGATAATAAATGACAGTTCAGTGTTATAACTTGTGTATGTAGCAGGGAAGCATTTTGAACTGGAAAAAATAGGTTCCCATTTGGTTATCCAATAAGTTTATCATTCTCATGTCATGCTGCTGAGTGAACACTTTAAGAACTTGGTGGTTAACAAAGTAGTAATGAAACTTCCTAGAATACGACACTAAAATGTTTCAAGATGATCTGCAGATCCAAATGGCCCAGGTTCATGAAAGCAATTTTCCCCCTGCGACACCCTTGAATCAGTGGTCTATAGCTGGAAATGAACCTATCCATAGTCATGTGGTCTTAGAAAATTTTGCCATCCTTACCTGGTGAGCCATTTCATGTTTAGCCTGACCAGTTTCTGTACATATTGGAGAGACAATGTGGTTTAGTGGTTAGTGTGCTGTACCAGGACTTTGGAGAGCTGGATTCTAGTCCTCAGTCAGTCCATGAGGCAGACTGGATGACTTCGGGCCAGTTGGTGACTCTCATCCTAACCTACCTAATAGGATAAAAGGGAGCGAAGGAAATGGACTGTCTAAGGTGCTTTGTGATCCTTACAGAGGAAAAGAGGCGGGATATAAATTTAACAATAAACAAACATATGTTGACATTTCTTTTATGATTCTGGCAGCTTATTTAAGCTGTGACATGCTGAGGAGACCTCCCTGAATTATGTCTTTGTCACTGCTGCATTCTTTCTTTCTCTTTTGGGCTCTTGTTTTTGATTCTGGAGATGCTTGGGGGTAATTCTCCGTGGCAACCAACCCTGCTTTCTTTTTGAATGGAAAGCACCTTAAATTTTAGCAAAGGGGTTAACTTGTTTCCATCTGTGTGCCTGGTATCGGAAAGCGATCCCTAAAGACAGCCTCATGTGGTGGTGTGATGCGCAAGCAGTGGGCCAACCATTCCGGAAGCTTGGAAGCCTAATGATTGGTTGTTGGTGCTTAGGAGTCCAAAATAGCCATCGTGGTTAGGGCTGAGATCCAGGCAACGTATTTGGGAGCGTCCATGGCTGATGGGAAGCTAGGAAGAGGTTCTCTCCTTCCGCCACCCACCTGGGACTGCTTTTCCTCCTGTGATATCCACATTCAAAGTTCTTCCATGAAGTTGCAGGCCGATGCTTGAGCAACTCGACTCTCTTGCCCCCAGGGCTCGTGTAGATCTGCCGTTCATGCTTCTGGTCCTCTTGAAAGGCGCTTGCAGTACCTCAGTGGGGTCACCGCACCCGTGGGGCTGCTCTCGCTCCTTCTCCTCTTCCTCGACCTGGTACCACTCGCTGGGCAGGAAGGGAGCCAGGGCGCCTCTTGCCGCTCTTCACTGCCATTGCCTGGGCCAGAGCGAGAAGCAGCTGAGCAAATGGAAGAGCAAGCCAGTCCAGGGGGCTCTTCCCAGGGGGCTTCTCGTCGGGTGTGGGCCCTTGGCCCGTACCTAGCCATGCTTACGCTTGGTGTGGCTCCTGAGTTCAAGGAGGACGCATGGCCAGGTTGCATCGCACAAGTGGTGGCGAACCTTTGAGAGACCGAGTGCCCAAACTGCAACCCAAAACCCACTGATTTATCGCAAAGGGTCAACACTGCAATAAAACCTGAAAACTGAGGTTTCAGTTTAGATAAAGCACCTCACATCTAGTCCAAGCATGTCCTTGGCAGCGCACTGACCGGCCACGCGACAGCTCGGACGAGTCCCGGGTACTGAGTTGCGGCTTGCGATGTCATCGACTGGCGCCGCTACTCCTTTCTGAGCATGCGCATGGCCCCCATGTACACTGTTATCCAGTGCTTGGATGCTGGGGCACCTTGGCTCGCACGCCAACAGAGAGGGGTGCTGTGGCACAGGCTCTGCACCACCGCGTTCACGGATCGAGAAGCATCGCATGTTCCCGGCCCCACAGAATCGCAGTCAACCACACAGTAAACCTTTTGCCAGCCGCTCCACTTCCATGGAAGAGGGAAATGACAAGCCCCCCCCCCACCCCCAAAGCCTTCCTCGAACCAGTGTTGCCTCCATGGTGGGGCCCCCTAACCTGATGGCCAAGCCGATGGCTGCTCACTGGTATGCATGGAAGTCAGGGGTGCAGAGCACCGTTCCAGAACTTGGCCATCCGTGGTTCAAAGGATGGAAGGCTCCCACGTCGTTCTTCAACGTCACGTCTGTCCGGCATTCGGTCTGGTGGATTCCTTGCGGACGGAAGGAGGAAGCGAGGTTCACTGCATTGCAATGTGCCGAGTCTGAAGGAAACGGAACTGCAGGGTTTTGGCTGCATTCCGTTTCTCTGCCAAATAACCACTTCATTAATCGGTGCCCTGGGGTCTGGTTTCTTGCAAAGAATGCCTTATATAGTGCTCGTTTGGATTCTGTATAACGATGCCAGGCGGCTTCCTTAAGCAGCCGCATTTGGAAATTGCCAGTTACAGAAAAATGAGTTGATGGGTAGCTTTCTCTTCCCCGTACTGTTTTGAACTCTGAATTATAACTTTCACTGGGGATTAAGGTATTAGCGCTGGAGCCCAGATGTCTGCTAACGGCGTCTCCTCCTCCTCCTCTTCCCACAGCGTATGTCTCCTAGGGGTGTTTGCCCTCATTGTGAGCTGGGGTTCCCTGGGTCTGGAGCTGGCCATCGCTGTGGTAAGTCGCTCCCGGACGAAATCTGCCCTCTTCGCAGCACAGTTCGACAGGGGGAGTGATCCGACCGCTCCAGCAGCATTTTCTGATGCCGGATAGAGAAGCTGGACGGCTTGTTTCAATCGCCCGTGCCTGCCAGATGCCATTTGCCTGATTGCCTGCCCCGGCACGGGTTGACCTGTTGTCCAGTGCAGCAGACATCTGGGATGGAGGTTCGGGGAAAGAGACCATGGAACTTGCGCTAGGTTTTTCTTCTTATGGGAAACATCATTTCCTGCAGTTCAGGGTTGGGAGCGCTCCTTGACCCTGACCTGTCCCTGGAGCATCAGCTGCTGGCGGTGGCGAGGAGTGCTCTCCTCCAGCTTCGGCTGATACCACAGCTGCATCCCTACCTGGATGAGCAGTGCCTGGCAAGGGTGACCCACGCTCTGGTAACCTCCCGGTTGGACTATTGCCATGTGCTCTGCGTGGGGCCACCCTTCTTGAAGACGGCCCGGATACTTCAGTTGGTCCAGAATAGAGCTGCCAGGTTACTAACGGGGACCAGCAGGGATTCCCTATCACGCCGGTCCTGTATCGCTTGCACTAGCTGTCAGTTGAAGTCCAGGCCCAGTTTAAGGTGCTGCTGATGACCTGTAAGGTCCTAAATGGGTCCTGAACACCCGAAGGAGCACCTTCTTCCCGATGTGCCGCCCGCCCCTTGAGGTCGGAGGCAGAGGCCCTTCTCCGGGAGCCCTCCGTGAAGGAGATCAGGAGGGTAGCTGCCCAGGGAGGGGCCTTTTCAGTGGTGGCGCCCAGCTGTGGAATACGCTCCCCAGGGATGTTTGCTTGGCGCTGTCGCTCTATTCTTTTCGGCATCAGGCAGACCTTTTTATTTTCCTGGTGTTTTAACAATTAATTGGTTTTATCCTTGTTTTTAATCACTATTTTTAGATGCAGTGTGCTGTGCATTGTTGCTGTCAAGGTTTTGTTCCTTTTTTGATTTTGTTCCCTGTAAGCTGTCCAGAGACTTTTTTACTAATGGACAGTATAGAATTCCTTTAAATAAAATGTAGAATAGAATAGAATAGAATAGAATAGAATAGAATAGAATAGAATAGAAAGGAGGAGAGGAGCCCTATCTTGCCACATGAGAGCTAGTTAACCTGCATGTAGAACCTCAGAACGGGGGCAGCATTGCCCAGATATGCCCATGGTCGTATGCACACGTGCTGGGCTGGCTGCAGAGTCCTGGAGTGGCTGGGTGAGCATTCAGACATGCAGGTGGGTTGTGCAAACCTCGCTCTGCCCCAAGGGCCGAATGCAGACCTGACTCGCTGCGCTTGCAGCGATTCTTTGGGAGAGCCACCGGTTCTTGGAGACGTCAGCCGGTGCTCTCTTCCCGCAAGCCTCCTCGGATGGGATTGAAGCTCAGACTGGGGGAAGGTGGTATCCAAGGGGGCTCTCAGGTGGGGAGCGTTGTGTTGTGTTGTGTTGTGTTGTGGGCAGCCATTGCTCCCTGACCCCTGCGTGGCGTCTGCTCTTCTCCAGGGCTCCAGTGACTTTTGTGTCAACCCCGATGCCTTTGTCTCCAAAGTGGTGGACGACTACGCGGTGCTCACGACGGGTGAGGAGCGCTAAAGCTTCATTTTCTGCATGCTGATGTTGGGCAAAGGTGGAGGGGAGGTTCCTGGAGCACCTGCTTCTGGGAGGCGAGAAGTAAAGGACTGGAGAATGGACTTACGATTAGAGAAGAAACCTGGGGGTAGGGAAAGAGTTTCCCATGAAACAAAGGATTCATGTAAGGATCTGTTCTGGGGTGGGAAGGGCGTAGCCCTCCCCCATGTGGTATTGGACTCTAGCTCCCATCAGCCTTAGCCAGGCCTTAGCTATCCTGCCTGAGGTGGAAGGATATGAAGGCTAGGTGAAAGGAAGTTTTTCTTCAAAGGCAAAAACCCAGCCAGACAGAAGTCGCTTGCTGCCAAGAGGGCGAATTGCTAAGTGACATTCTTAAAGAACCCACGTTATTTAATAAAAATCATGAATATTTTTGACTACCTTATATAATTCTGCTTCTGTGATGCATTTGATCCTTTTATAGTCTGCTAAGCCTTCTGCAAACATTGACGGAGACATTCTCAGCAGCCTTGAGGACTAGAGACTTGCTTTTTTAAAACAGCAAAAATGAAGTAGTACCAGTAGGTACTACGAATTCTGCAGACTTTTAATTCTTACTTCCTCCGGAGCACAGCAGAAGAGAGTTTGCCTTTCAAAACTGTGCCATAAAAATCTGTCAGTACAACAGTCTGTTTTAGCCCCACTCCCTGTGGGGAAAGAGGACTAGCATTTGGAGGACTAATGGAAAAGAGGACTAGCATTTCCCTTTATACCAGAGTTTGTTTCTGTGTGGGTTGATTTTTGTATAAATGGCCGTGCCCTTTACAACCGCACTACCTGAAGAGTTGTGTGTTCTTGACCCTTTCCATTATGAGCCTGCATTTGCCCAGAACATAGACCCTGTGTGTGAGGACAGAAGCACCGTCGGAGCAAATATAATTCAAAGCTGAACAGCTCGTGCTACGTCAGGGATCTCGCAGGAAGAGATCAAAGTGGATTTGGCACGATAGTCATATAAGCACTAGGAAGCTCGTTCATGTAGCAAAACTGCAATTCATGTTTTTGTAGATTTCGTCTTGGCTTTTGTAGTTCTGGAATCTGAGAAATCTCCCTTAAAAGCAAACAAACAGAAGAGCCGGAGCGCCTGTCTAAGTGCATGCGGCCTCCCGTCGTACCACATTTGACAGTTAAATAGACTGGAACAATGGCAGAGAAAAGGGGTTTCCGGCATCCTTAAAAATGTAGCCCCTAGAGAGCCGTCTCTTGTTCTGTTTGCCGGGACTATTTTAGGCTCTTGACTATTTAAAAAATCATCTGCTATTTAATTTTTTAGAGACTATGGGTCTGTAACAATTTGGAAAATGTAGGTGGAAATGGAACAGTGGTAAATCATTAAACAGCAGCATCCCATCTTAGCTGGGTCGTTTTATTTCAACGATATTTTAATAACTTGTGATATCAGTTTACAGGTTTTAATATGCAGCCAGGGTGGATCTGGATTTTATCTGTATTATGTTTTATTTTCTTTATGTAAGCCATCCCGAGGCTATGCGATGGGACGGCATGCAAATGCAATAGATGATAGATGGATCGATCGATCGATCCAAGGTTTTCGTACTTCACCACGGTGTGGCATACTTGGTGGTCGTTTTTGAATTCCAGGGATCTGCTTAGGTGTGTGTTAAGTGCACAAGGTCACACTGCAGGTCCAGCCACAGCCCGGAGTTGAGCAGGGTGGACAGATCTGGAGCGCTCTCATTCAGAGGGTCAAGAAAGGTTAGGGGTGACTTGGCGGCTTGTAACAACAACGGAGATCTCTTACCGTTTAACGCAAATATAGGCCTGGTTTGTTTAACCCATGGGTTCTGGAATGAAGTGCCCTTCTAGCCATACTACCAAACCATGGTTAGTTAACCATGAACAGCCCAGAAAGAGAACCCATGGTTTGTTTTAGGATTGTCAACGCTGGGTTGTTTAAACCATGGGTTGTTCATGCATTGTTTGGCCTGGGTACAGAAGTGACAGAAAGTGTTAAAAATAGCCAGTATTGCAGGACTGCGGATGCATTTAGGATACAGGAAGGGAAAAGACAAAGGATAAGAGAAACAACCCAGGGATTGAGAAAAGCAACCAGTGTGTTCAGTCCTCTGCCAACAAACCTTGGGTTAAGCGGTGGGTTGGGGTTATTCATGGGCTGGATCCATAACTTGAGTGCTAAATTCACTCTTGTTGAGCTTTTTTTTGTTTGTTAAAAAAAAACAACGCAGCCAGCAGGTGCTAAGTGGTCCCTTGGCAACTGGCAGGTTGTTGCCCTCATGAAGTTAAATGCACAATTCATCGCAATTTTCCCTAGTGGGATTTTGACCAGCAGCAGCCCCGATCCTGGTGACCCTACAGCATCTGCAGTGCTGTAACAGCTTCAATGCTATCAGTGCACGAAACTTCCCGTTTTAATGGCATTGCCAATACAAAGCAACTCGTTTTTCCTCTTTGGAAAAGCATCTGTCGCATATTGTGATAATCAATGAGATGTGTATACTTCCTGCTAAATGGGTTTTTTCCCCAGGAGAGAACACCGATCTTAAAATCGGGGCACGTTTTAATCTTTCATGCATTAAATGCTTAATGCATCAGCTGATGTCTCTGTATGTCTGTGTTAGCAGCTCAAAGACAATTAGGACTGAAGTAGCAGGAAGCAAAATCTTTGCCCAATACGCTGCACAGAAGTTTCTCAGCACACGCCAGAAATCTCGGCTTTCCTGCCTCGAGGTCTTCAAATAACCTGGCATTCAAGCTGTGTTTAGCGCTGGGAACCCAAGGCTCTCTGTGCTAATTTATTAGGCTCAGTAGCAGAGGTTCCTGACAGGTGTGACAGAGGGATAATTGAGCATCTTACCTGAGTAATGTGCTCTCTTGGGCTTTGTCCCATCTTATCTAGACGGAGGGAGGAAGCAAATGAACGATACCTCCAGTTTCCGTCTTGGTAGGTAACCATCCATTTGACAAACCTGCCTATCAGGAAGAGTGGAAGTGAGAAGCGAGGGGGGGGGATGCTGAACGGCTCCTGGAGTGAGCAGGTGATGGTCGTACAGTTTGGGAAGGGTTCCTACTTAAGAGAGCCCAGAACTGTTTTGCTTTTTTTAAATTATTTATTGCAGAGGCGGTTTTGTCACCCATGTGTTCAGTTTTGTACTATTTTATGCTCTCTGTGCTGATAACTAACCTGTAAAGGAACGTGCAATGGAACATTTCTTAGTGACAAGCACCCCAGGATCTCCACCACGGAAAATTTGTGTCTTCCTAATGGATGAAGCAGTCTTCCCCTTCCTGGCCTCTTTAATAACAACGGCAACGACATCCAGTATATTCACTGGAAAGAGACAAGGGGATGTTCCGTTCGTCTGTTGCTTAAAAGACGGGGCCGTCTCCCCATCTGACAGCAGCAAGTGAAATGCTGCCACTTCTGCAGGAAGGTTCCCTCAGGACAAAATGGCGCCAGAGTTCACTTGGCAGCAAGAGGATGGAGGTACATGCTTGAGCCGAGGTGGCTGAAAGTGCACGGAGACAGCACGGAAATCGCAGAAGCACAACCAGGTCTTTTGGGCGATGGCAGTGAAGCACCATGGAGAAGCCCAAGGGCCAGTGGAAAAGCCCAGTGGCCAATGGAGAAGCCCCCTGGTCCTGGGAAGCTGCCTGCTGCCTGTGCTTAAATTGTTGGGACTTCAGGAAGACCAGCGTAAACCTGATTGCGCTCTTCTTCAACCAAGTTCTAAGTTGCCATCACGAGCATCCCGGCCTGGTTGGCATGTGTGCGTCTCTGCCTGACAGCGTTCCTCAGTTCTACGGATGACTTACGGGGCGCTCTTTCAGTAATGGCAAGATAAATGGCATTGCCCCTGCCCCTTTCGAAAACAACAAAAAGGAACAGTGAAAATCAAAGCACTCGTAAAAATGCCCAAACTGTGCTAGTGTTTTTCAAGTCTTGCAGCATAAACAGGAAAGATACAATCTGATAAAGCGAGTCTCTGGGTCTGTTGGGGGAGAGGGATGGAGCGAAGGAGAGGAAATTAAATGATTAGATACGAGGGCAGGCTGCAGCCCTTCCTGCCCAGCTCAGCTCCTATTCATTCACAGTGACGAGGCTGGAGGGGTGGAAGAAATCCCAGAGCGGCCGACGGGCTCGCTTTCCACGCAGGAGACCGTTTGCTTGTCCCAGCGATTTTCACCAATAGTGTTTCATTGCCTGTCGTTGAATGAGAAGGCACAGCCAGGCGTCTGTGTCCGGATAACCCGCTGGAGTGACGCCCCGTCTGGGTGGAGCAGTGCCTCGTCTCTGTTCGCCCGAGCAGCGCTGCAGCCGGGCAGGAACGCTCAACTCGCTCCTGAGTCTGATTCCCACGTCCCGCACGAGCACGCAGCTCGCTCAGGGCCTTGCGCTTGTCCAAAAGGAGAGCGATACTGTGAGAGGGGCTGATGCCAGGTGGAGAAGAGGGCTCCCGCTTGGAAGGAGCCCCCAGGTGCCGTGGAGGCCCGGCAGCGGGGCTCCCTCCCTCCCCGCTTCCACCCTCCCCACTATTCAGCGCACGCCAATGAGCGGGACGCACGGCAGAATCTCCCGCGTGCATTTGGGAGCCGCATCTGAATTATTGATTTCCCTGGCTCTTCTCCTAGAGCTGTTCAGAGAGCGGCTCCTTTGGCTGATGGAGCTTGATTTGCCCCTTCCAAATGCTCAGCGATAATAAGTAGTGACTTAATTTTGTCATTCTTCTTGCCAAAACGGTCACCCTCTGTCGGGGCCTGAGTAAACAGTGAGTAAACAGTAAACATGCTGGCTTGTGGGACTTTGAGAGGCAGTACTTTCAAAGAGAGGAGAATGTGCATCCGGAATATGCTCAGTGCCGGCATTGCCCACATTTCTGGCAGCATCCGGTGAAATCTCTGTGCAGGCTCTTTGGCTTGCATGGCCTGGTCTCTCACCGGCTTTGAAGCAATTCCTGTGCTTCTGATGTTGTGCTCAGATGCTGTGGAGAGAATACGGAAATGCTCGGGGCGTGCCGAGGAGACTGCCTGTGGCAACCGTGTGGATCGTATGGACATTTCAGCAAGAAAGAGCATCTGCTTCTCCAATCTATAGATCACCTTAGGGATTTCTCCTCCTCCTCCTCCTCCTCCTCCTCCTCCTCCTCCTCCTCCTCCTCCAGGGCTGTGTGCCTTTTTGTTATTGATGTATTTATTACTTCATCAGAATCACCTAGCCCCGTGGATGTCTGATAAGCGCTTGATCTGCGTTGAATCATTACATGGATGTGTAACGCCATCAATCCAATTTGTTCTATTCCGAAGGAATATTCATGCCCTAAAGCTAGTCTCATCCGTTTTGTTTTCCCCCGAAGCGGCATTTCCATAGCCGCAAGCCAACCGCAGTAGGTTATCCGGAAGGACATGAGTTACGAGTATCTTCTCTCTTTCACCGATGAACCCGTATTCCTAAGGGGCACAATCCAACAGAACAGCGGTGTGTACTTAAGCCCCCTGAAAACACCACACTAATGTGTGCTCAGCTCACTTGTTTTTCGACTTTTTAATTTCTTCGGTATAGCCAAGGTTCGTTACTGATGGCAGTGAGTTAAAGACTATTTACATGTGGACAAAGGAGGGTCTGCTGGAATAAGATTCCCATAGGCCACGTTTCGATCTTTCTCCATTGGGCAGCCAGGAACAAGATCACACTAATGTCAGACTCGATTCCAACAGATATTAGAAAAAAGGGGCCACTCTGCCTTCCTGGGTAAAAAGAAACCAGTTTCACTTTGCATTGACCCTTTCCACAAGAGGGGACCGAATGGTTTGAGAAACAGGGTGCAAACCAACAGCTGGTTGGTTTCAACGGAGCTTCTAGGATATATGTACAGTTTGTGGATGTTGAATTGCTCTAAATCTAAGAAAAGGGCTGCTTGTCTGTAGAGACCTGAATGCACCAGCTTTTGCGCCAGCTCAGGTACTTAATCGCAGGGAGAGTTGGCCATGCATAGTTCGTCCTGGCACGACCCTTTTGGTCATTCTCGCTCACCCAGGGCGAGCCATTCAGCTGCAGACAAAAGCGATTGCCCAGCGAGAGGGACTCCGTGGGAAAGGATGGAGCAGCAGCTCAAAGCTGCCCGATAAATTATGAATAACAGCTGTTGGGCTGCTTTGCAAGCACGCCGGAGCAGCCTGGCTTTATCCCGGCAGCACATGCCGGCTCCGGAAATGGCGCATCCAATATTAATGGCGAATGCAGGGAAACACGCAGACAATCTGGCCAGCTTTGCCCTCGTGGACACAGCCGACGTCAGCGGGCATCCCATCCCGCGAGCGCGCACTGACCGTGCGCTGTCCTGTGGGTGGATGCGCGCCGGGTTAGTTTCGGTCCTTCGACGTGTGCAAAGTGATCGACACTCCCAAGTTCTGATTCACACAAACATTGGTTAAGATTTTGTTGAGCAGAGTTGCACATTCATTTTTGGAAACCTGGTGGGCTTTGCTGTTACACACCCACACTTCCTTCTGGCGATTTTTCCCTGTTTGAACGTTTTAGAGCATTCCTGTTTGGTGGATGGAGGGCGGGGGAATCGCAGGTATTAGAGAAAAAACCAGGTGCAACCAGAACCAGACATGAGATGGTGATTGCTGCCTCTTCTCCCGTCTTCCTTTGCGACAGATACTCTGAACTATTACCTAGTCTGCAGTGCCGGCTACCCAAATCCCTTCCAGCAGGTGAGTGCCTTCGGCCCATGCCCTTCTCTGCTTGGGCAGGATTGGAAGCTCTCACGGTAAGATGCCCCTGAACGCTGGAGGATTTTCCATGCTCCAGAAGCAAGGGGACCCCTGCCAGATCGAAAAACAACGGGCAGAGGAAAACAGCCATTCCTCTGTACCAGGTGTGACTGTGGTTTCACCTGTCCCTAAGCAAACATCAGGCAGGGCTTTCCAAGGTGGTGGTGGTGCTGTTATTCCCATTTCATTTTTTTTTTTTTTTTAAGATGCGTTTTGTCGTCGTTACGGGCTCTGGTTGTTTTTGGTTTGCTCTCTCTAAGCCACGCAGAGACATTTTTAGTAACTGGGACGGCATGCAAAAACCTTAAATAAATAAGATAAATAAAAATACTTTTGTATGCTGCCCCATAGGGCGGCTTACAGTAGAACAAGAAAACACATCATACAAATACAATAATATTTGTATATTATTATTGTATAAGCAATACAACTAAGCAAAATGATATTTAACCGTAAGCAATGCAAAAGCAAACTTAGTACCATAATATAATACAATACACAATATTATAATAATATTAGCAGTACATGATGCCAAACATAATTAATATAATGCATAAATTGTAATATCAGCAATGATAAGATACAGCTATAATCCCTCCGTATGCTGTGGGGGGATTATTCCTTGAGGTGAGTGTGGCCATGAGCCGCAGTGGCAGCAGAGGGGTCTCCTTGGGTACAAGTCACCACCGGACAGTATAAAGAAGGCTCTTTTCTCCACAAGGCCCCTCTTCTTGGCGCTTTGATTTCAGCCGGGCTCCGAAACGAGAGAGAGTCCCATCTGCAGGGCCGAGCGGGTGCCACAACCCGGGAGAGGGGCTGTAGAGGAAAAGTGGCGAGCCCCGAGCTCCACGGGCCCCTTCCGCCCGCCACGGCCCCCGTTGAAGCCCTTCCCCACCCCGGTCGCAGCCGCTCCGCAGCACCCTGCAGAGACGGGCCTCCTCCTAGAGCGACCAGGGCTGACCCTGCAAGCAAAAAGAGAAAGAAAGAAAGAAAAGGCAGACCGGCGTGCAGCTCTTTTCGGTACCTGAAAAGGGTGTGCCTGGAGTGCAGCCGCGTCGTCTCTCCTCTTAGGCTCTGTAGTCAACCCTTCGTAGCCTGGAGCGTTGCAACCAGAGCCCCAGGGAGAGCCGCATAAAGCGGCATCCTCTCCCTTGCACAGCTTCTGAACATAACGATTGTTCTAAAACCCGAGACACGGACACACTCGTGTGTCGACGCCGTTTTTATCTCAGGCGTGCGAAGCTCACCTTTTATGGTTGCGGCAGTCCTGTGAGGCAGGCTGGCTCGCCGGCTCAAGGTCACCTTGCGAGCCTCTCCGCGTCTCTCTCGAGCGCCTTATTGCAGCCCGCTTTAACTCCCACGCTACCCTGACTTTTCTCTGCGGGCCGATCACCTGTACACATGCAAAGACTCGGAGCAGCTGCAGTTAAAAATCTCGTAGCCACGCGGGGCACCGTGCCACGGCCCTGAGGACTGAGACGTGACGTTTGTGTTCAACAGAAATTGTCAGGAAGTCACAAAGCCTTGGTGGAAATGCAGGATGACGTGCAGAAGCTCATGAGGCTGGCCGTCAAGGAATACCCCACTTCTAAGGTAAGCAGGTCTGATTCCTGTGGAGCACTTCCCGAGGGCCCTGCTGCACGCCCTCCCTCCCGTGATCTCTGGCCAACATTTGCACTGATCTTCAGTCCACTGTCTTTGCTTCCAGGAGTACCTTAATCGGATTCAGGAAGTTCTGAACTCCACAGAAATCAACTTGCAGCACCTGACTGCCTTGGTGGACTGCCGGAGTCTGCATTTGGTGAGTAGAATGAAAGGCAACCATGTGGCACACCAGGGACTAGAACATTGCAAAAGCACAGAATGTGCTGGTTCGTGGAATCCAGGCAGGACCCTGCTGGGCAGGAATGGCCCTGCCAAAAGGATAGTACACAGCTTGTGTCATCTCGAATCTCCTCACACTGCTCAGCACATCAGAATGGACGGTCCAGCTCCCCTCTTGGCCAGCTGCTGCTGCTGCTTTTCTTGGCTAGCAGGATGAGAAAGGCGCTGCATAAAGGTGGAGGGGCGTAAAGACAGAAGCCGCACAACTCGATGTGTCGCACGACAGAGTGATTTGCAAAACTGAGAGCTGGAGGGAAGGGCGAGCTCCTCCTGTCTCTCCTCCTCCAAGCGTGCGTTTCTGACGACCTTTTTATCCCCTGATGCTTAATGGTGGTGAAAAGGACATTGCACACCTTCTCCGTCAGTCCGTGTGGCTTGAATGTTGGACTGGGACTCCGGAGACGCGGGTCTAGTGCCACGAAGCTCACAGGGTGACATTTGGCCCAGTCATGGGCTCTTTTAATGTGTTGTTGCATATTTGTAATTTCTGTTTGGTGCACGCTGCCTGGAGAGTCTTTTTGGACTACTTGGCGGCTTACATGTACAAAAATAAACAGATAAACATGGATGGAATGCAGCCGATTTTCAGGCCATTCCGAGGTCGCCTTGGCAGTCTGGCCAAAGGGGATTCAGCCGAGCGCATGTTTGCGCTGCAAGACGGTAGCCACCGGTGCTCCTTCGGCACTGCGTTCGATCTTCAGCTTGAGCGTGGTTTTTCCCTCTGTGTTAGGATTACATCCAGGCTCTGACAGGCTTCTGCTACGACGGCGTGGAAGGGCTCATCTACCTGGTCCTCTTCTCGTTCGTCACAGCCCTCATGTTCAGCTCCATCGTGTGCAGCGTCCCCCACACTTGGCAGCAGAAGAGGTGCGTACACGGAAGAAGGCACGCTTGCGCCGGCGGAGGGAAAGGGCCACCGCTGTGCTCAGTTTGGGCAAGCGATCCCAGGTGTGCGCTCCCGGGGAGGGGGAACCCCGGCGACGCCGGCCAAAAGGCCACTAGAGATGCCATCACCTTGGTTGTATAAGCAGCCGTCTTTCCCGTTCTGGCCCCAGATAAAGACTGTCAGTGCAAAACTGGGGCAGAACCATGGTGATCCGAAGGTACTCGCGAGACGATAAATTTAAGGCAGAGAGGCCTCCTTCCTGACCCCCACGAGCCACGAAATAGGCACCAAATCAGCAAAGTTTTTCAGATGTGCTGACTGAAATGGGAGAGGGTTAGGAAGCGATGGGTCATTTACTTACCTAGTGTGGACGGATACTGCTCAACAGCTGAATCTCCAGGATGCTGCTTCAGGCCAGAAATAAAAGCTTTAAGCGGATTTTTAAGAAATGCCACGTTGCTGACCTCGTATCAGGTGTTGCCCCAAATACGAAATCCTGCAATGTCTGGTTATATAATATGGGGAAAGGCAGACAGTAGATGCAGATCTCCGGGTGTTTGTCTGCAGACGATTGACAAGGCCTGTAACTCATTTTAACATTTGCAAACAACACTGCAAGATTCCAAAACGAAAAGCAGAGCTCTGCTGTTGCTGGGTTTGCACCAGTTGCTGATTTCTCAGCCTCGGGGTTTTGTCCCTGTAAAATAGTAGTTTCCGAGCAGGTTTTTGGAGGTTCTGCTGAGTAATTCTCTCCTGCGGTCACGGAAAGGGCTCTCTTGCCATCCTGAGCTGCCCTGTGTGACCAGCCGGAAGCGTGCATGCGTGCAGCAGAAAGAAAAGATTTAAAATGTTGCATGCTCCTCCTGAGCAGCCGGAAAACCCAGGAGGGGAATGTTGATGGTTCTGCTCTTTCTCTCCCTCTTCTGCTCAGGAGCTCTGACGAGGATGGAGAGGACGAATCTGCAGCCCAAGGAAACAGGCAGACGCATGACAACTTGTACCGGGTGCACATGCCCAGCCTGTACAGCTGTGGGAGCAGCTATGGCAGCGAGACGAGCATCCCGGCCGCAGCGCACACCGTCAGCAACGCCCCAGTCACGGAGTACATGTGAGTAGAGCGGCTATGAGAGGCGTGGCATGAGCGGAGCTGGCTGGAGCCTGGGGTCAGACTGGATGGCCCAGGGTGCCCCGTCTTACTCTGTTTTTATAAACCTGCGGTCTGGCTGAGGAAAAGGCAGCTTTGTGTCTGAAAGACTGCTCTGCTCCGCAGCTCTCCGTATCGGACTTGATTCTGGTGCTTAGTTGCCTTCAAGCAGGGACAGATAAGCGGCTGCCCTCCAGGAGTTTTGGGCTGTGGCTCCCATCATCCTTGTTGGCTGGGGCAAATGGGGGTTGGCTCCCAAGAGGCTGGAGGGCACTGGGCCCCCCGCCACTGGAAGCGCATGCACGAGTCTGTATGGAGGAAGCCACGAAAGCGTCGTTGGTGCCAGCCGCTGCGAGCCGGGCTGCCTAATTCGCTCTGAAAGTATCGAAAGAGCATAAATGGATATTTGTACAGCTTAATGGGAAAAAGCTCTTTGCTACTTTGAGATTTGAACCACCTGCCAGTAGCAAATAAACTGTGCGAGCCAAGTGCTTAGGAGAGACTTAACCGCTGTGTGTTTAAAGGATTTCCAGCGTGGTCTCTGTAATGGGAGGAAGGAAGCCCTTCGCACACGCTTTTAAGAGAGTGGGAGATGATACCTTATCCAGACTGAAGTCAGCGTAAAACTCGGGTTCGGACAGTGCCCAGTGTTTGGGGCTATGAAAGAGCGCGCCCCTTTGGGCACAGCTAGAGGGACAGAACTCTGCACACGGGTAGCCAAGTCTTCCCTTTCGCCAGTTGCTGCCCTTGAAGATCCTTCGCCTCTTCTCGAACCGAGGGCGCCGCGTTCATCCTCGTGGTCGGCTCTTGAGTGGGACTTTCCTGGCGTGTGCACTGCTCTTTGTTTTGGAAACAAGCAGTGGAGCAGAGCAAGCGTTGCCGCCTGGCTCATTTGCAGGGCAGGTTTACTGTGTCGTGTGAACTCACCCGCCTCGTTCAGTGTATGAGTTCCAAGGAACGGTGGATGCATCTGCAGTGTTACTCCAAAATCTTTGTGAACTCCCAAATGAGTAACTTGGCTTTTTTCCTACCTTCCTCTCAGGAGCCAGAATGCAAATTTCCAGAATCCCCGTTGTGAGAATACTCCTTTGATCGGCCGGGAGTCCCCACCTCCTTCTGTAAGTTCTTATTTACTGCTTGGAAGGGTAAAGCTGAAATATCCTTTGGAAATGTCCTTGGCAGTGAACCAAAGAGGTGAGCCAGGGGCAAGGATGAATCAAACATGCTCATGGGCCAGACTCCTTGCCAAATGTCTGGGCACCTTTGAACAAGTGGAAGTAAAACGCATCGTACTTTGAACTTGGGGTCCGAGTGCAGAGATGAGCTGCTTACAGAATTCTGCAACCTATTCTGCCAGGGGAACCGTGGGTAAACTCTTTTCTGAAATTATAGCGGATATTACCCTTCGAAAGTAATGCTGAGCCTTTTTTACAGGACAAATCTGTCCTGTAAGGGATTTGGAAAATACCATCCTGTGCTTTGGGGCATGCCTTCTTCTATTTTGCCATCTGTAACATTTCCTTTTCTGCTCCCTGGTTTTCAGAACAGAAGACAGAGGGGTTCAGGGCTCTGCTTTGTTTTAGATACGGCTTCTTTGTTTTAGCTTCTGGTTTTTCCTTTGCAATCTTGCAGTATGTATACCTTCACTCTGGGGAGCAGATAATCCCCTTTAGCACCAGGTAGGATATGGAACAACATAAACCCATCTTGATTTTCGGGGGCACTGCTAAGATGCATGGCCTGGTCTTGCGGCAGTGCCTTTCGCCTTTCGCGGCCAAAAATACGAAAAATACGCGGCTTCCCTAAAAGGAGAGAAGTGAGCAGAGAAAATGCGGCAGTCCTTTAGAGAGAAATGCAGCTTTCTTCCTAAGGTTCTTGGCCTTTCTGAATTCAGAGACCGGGCTGATTTTCTGGCTTTCCTGAGGAACCTCAGATGCACCTGTAGACGTATTGTTGTAATCACTGCTGCTCCGACAGGGAAGATGCTGCGGTGGGTGGGGAGTTGCTTGCTGCCCAGGCTTTTCTCCTCTAGAACCGCAGGCGAGATCGGTTCATCGGGTGGCTCTCGGGGCGGGGTTCCGTTGCAGCCTTTGGCTTGCTTGGGAAGCGCTGCCCTTTGCCAGGGAAGCTCCCGTCTCCAGGGTCCTAAGGGAGAAGCATTCCGAACATGCAGCAGTGCTTGCGGTCCGTGGCCCGGATCCTCTGTCTAGTGGTGGAAACGGTCCGTCCCGGTGCCTAAAGTAGGAGCTGGGGACTTCGGATAGGTGAGGAGGGAACACAGTGCGGCCGTTCTGAGGACACGGGGAGTGCAGAAGAGCTCCTGCTTTGAGGGCCGGTGGGGGAAGAGAAGCAGCATCTCAGCTGTCAGAACGAAAGTGTTCCTCCGAGGCCGGTGCTTTGCAGGTGAGCCTGTTCAGAGGTGAGAGGAGGGGGCGGCCGTGCGTGTGAATGGGGCCGAACCCTCGCTCCGAGCCACGCAGCCCTCTGGTCTGGACGGGCTGAGCCTTCTTTACAGCGCTGGCCGGTGGCATGGCTCTTTCCCATGCGCTGGTTCGCCCGGCGAGAGCAGGCCCTTCGCCTCCGGCTGCGGGAGGCTCGGGTCCACAGCCGTCGGCCGCCGGTGAGGGGAAGAGGGCCGCAGCAGCGCGAGACGATGCCCAGCCGGGCTCACTCCGGGCTCAGCCTCCGTTGCGGAAACCACGGCTGAGCTCCTCGGGGCACAGGAGTGTTGACGTCATTGTGTGTCTGGTCCTCTCGTCCCTCTGGTCATTCCTCCCTCGTCCCCCCCCCCGCCGTGCCCCAGGGACGGTCCCCGTAGAGTGGTAGAGTCCTCCCCGCCATCGGCATACACGCCACAGCGATTCACTTGCTTGCACTGTGTTTTTCATGCACGTTGAGGCTGCACTCTCTCTTTTTCTCTCTCTCCTGCATCATCACAGTTGTATTTAGCTGCCCTGGACAGTAGCAGCCATATGACTTGGCAGCTTAAGCCCTCGGACAGTGCTCGGACGTACTGGTAACAGCGCCCACAAAAGCAAACAGGTACTGCAACGAGGTCCTCGCGCTGAATCCCCCCCCCCCCGCCGTCGCTGCACTTCCTCCCCCAGGCCAGGACGGAGGTCTCCACACCCCCCTCCCTGCACTTCCCGCCTCATCCCTTCTCGCCCAGGGGTAATGCGAGCGAGGCCGGCCCTGCCGCTTGCCGATGGAGCAACGCCGGCCTCTTCCCCCGCAGCGCTTCTCGTGGTGGTTGTGGCAGCGAAAGCGCACCTCTCGGAGACAGACGGGACACGCGTCGTTCTGCACCCGGGAGGGGCCGCTTCTCCTGAAACGTACCCGCTCCTGGGGATTCCCGCGCCCGAGAATATAGCTCAGCCGATTTAGACCATCCCATGCTTACAGCAGACCTCTGTGTCTTCCCCGGACCCTCGGCCAGTCTCTTCCGTGTCATGTCACAGTCTGTGCGGTGAAACACGAACACGCAAAATCGCATGCTAAAACATCGCCCGACAGATCTTGAACCCAGAGTATTTCAACTTTGGCTGTTCATCCTTGGAAATTCCCTCCCCACAGGGCGGTCCGTGCAGCCTTCCCCTCTAAGTACGTCCTGCAGGGTCTGTGGGAGGACCACCACCTGTACTCCGGTCCCAGTGCCAGCTTTTCCCCGGCTTCCGGGAGCCGACTGAATTCTGCCTGGTTCTCCCATCAGCATGGCCAGCAACCCGCAGGGGATGCTCTCTTCAGCAGAGTAGCACATGCCTTCCCTGCCATTCCCCGCTCTCTTGTCCCTAGGATGCCACGTGGCACGAATCCCCCGAAGGCAGCTTGGAGGGAATCAGCCAGAGGTGCAGCTCGCGGATCCACAGGCCGGCTTCACACGCCAGCGCTTCAGAACTCCGTCCCTGGCACAGCCAGCTGAGGAGGGAGCTGGAGCAGTAGAAGGGGCAGAAAAACCCTACGCCCAGTCCCTCTCCGGGCCGGGTGGGGAGGACCCCTTTCCACGGCCCTGGAACAGAGGCAGGCCCAGCTGGGTCATCCACGGGCCTCCCCCGCATGTTCCCATACAGCACTGCAAAGGATGTCGCGGAGAAGAGCCTCGGCTCTGCGCTTGCCCGCTCCGGGCACGAGGGACCACTAGTCCAGCGAAATCCAGAGCAGGGTTTGACCTGCACAGTCTGAGCTGTGATTTGGGCTCCCAGTGCTCCGTGTTTGTGCCGAGTTTAATCCGATGGGGTGTTCCCCTTTTAAACAAACAAGCCAATCAGCCAGTGCACACCCACAGCTATCCAAACAACTGGAAAACCTGTAGCGGCTGCAGCACACGGAGTTTCTGGGGGGGCTTTCTCCCCAGTTCGGGTGGGCAGGGGAATGGGTCGGTCGGTGGGTCGGTCTGGCCCACCGGCCGCAGTCTGCCTCCTGTTCCCAGAGCTGTCGACACACAGCGAGCCGCCCCACCTCCGCATCACGTCACCCATCCCTGCCGAGGCTTTGTGCTGCCATTCTCCACCGCCCCTCGCTCGGCCTCCATCCTCACTGCTTCCTTGCCATCCGCTTGCTCCGCTTCGTGAATGCTGGCAGGTTCCTGGAGGCAGCGGCTGGGCTGCGAAGACGCTGCCTCGGCCTGGCGCCCTCCGCCCAGCGCATGAGTGGGGAACTGTGTATGTCCTTCAATGCATGTTGCCTGTCCTTCCAGACCTCTCTTGCGCGCAGCCTCGCACCGGCCTCACTTGAGCAACCAGGTCTTGGTGCCGTCTTGTCTGATCCACATGGATGTTAACACTGTTGTCCATTGCGCTCTTGTATACTTTGAATGTTCTGTATTACATACTTTGTATTTCAGGCGTTTTTCTGGGACGATACCCAACAGCCCTGTAGCTCATGCTGTACTTTTTTACTAGGCAGAAGGCAAAGCATCCGATATTGTGTCTTGATCAAATCAGAGCGCTCCCTGATTTCTAAAAACAACGGCACAGAAGTACCTGTGCTAGGTGTTTCAAAATCAGCCGTTCCATTTTGGATTTTGGTGGTTGTGAGGGGCATGAAGGTTTCCAGTAGAGTTCCAAGACTAAATTAAACTAAATTGAGAGAGAGAGAGGACGAATGAATGAAAGAGTGTTTTATGAGTACGTTGTAGTCACTGCTTATAACCCCTCCTCATAGCAGCATCCATTAAATCACATCAAGCAATTCCTTTCTTTTGTGTTTGGAAGAGAGTGCTTCCTTTCATCTGTTATGGATGCCTTCTTAGCACATGGGCCTGTTTTTAATTGTGGGTAACAATAGATATTAGGGTGTTCTTCCAATAGGCTGGCCAGTCACTTCGAGGCTCCCGGGAATATTCTGCTTTCTGAATGGGATGTGGCGAGGAAGGGAAGGCTAGTCTGCCGCAGACCATATGTCGCCCACCCCCGTTTAAGGGGCATGCAACTTCTCCCCCTCTGAAACACAGCTTAGACCCGCATAGTGCTTCTTTGTTGGATAGATACGTGGCGGTTTTGTGAAGGTTGGGCCAGGTCTGTCATTCTTTTTCCTGATTCGAGTTTTGCCTTCAAAACAGCAGTAACAACTCTGCAGATCAAAGACAGCTGAAAGGAGGAAAACCCAGAAAGAAACCGCTGCAAAGCATAGGCCTGTTTCCATCCTTAATCGAGGCAAAATATTAATTATTCTTTAGGGGGAAATGCTCAAAAAAGCTCATCCTGTTGTAAGTGAGGTAGCTCAGTTTATGTTAGCCACTGGTGAGTCCCACTGTTCTTCCGCCTTTTGGGGGAAGTCCAGCCAACACACACAGAAATTGTGGGGCTTAGTTTTGTTGCCAGTGAGGAAGAAGGAGCACTGAGCTCTGTTTATGCAAAGCCTGAGCTGCGAAGGCGAGAGTCCCAGAAGCACTCCATAAACTCTCAGCCCCGCCTCTCAAAGGGAGTGTGTCCGGTGTCAGCAGGATGCGACGCATGTTTCTCAGCCACCCCAAGTGTGCATGAATGGACTGTGGCGTTAAACTCCAGACAGGCTGGGTTCTGTGCAAAGCAGCCAGGTCTGAATCTTTTGTCTTGTGCATCAGTTTGGGCGTTGAGAGGGACAAGTTATCAGCAAACCATAGTAGCTTTTGCATGGTTTATGGTGGTTCGAGATAGTCAAGTCACCGATGAGTATCTCCATAGTAAAATTCAGATAAACTTTCTTAGAATTATTAACCTTTCAGTGTAAATGGGCAGGTCATTCTAAATAATCTTCGTAAAGTGAGGGAAAGCGGTGCGGTTTAGTGGTGAATGGTTTGGATCAGAACTTGGGAGGTCCAGATTCCACTCCTCCTTCTCCCATGAAGCTCATCAGGAGACGTTGAGCCAGCCTCAGCCTAGCCTACCTCTCAGGGTTGTTGTGAGGACAAAATGGAGAAAAGGCAGATCACACACCGCCTTGGAGTCCTTGAAGGAAAAGCTGGGATGGAAATGTAACAAAGGAGTAGAAATGCAATATGCTATTTTAGACACATCTGCTTAAGTTGGGGGTTTTGAAACAAGGTTAATGAGTTTCTTAGAGATTCCTTCCCTCCCTGCCCAAATGAGGGGCCCTTTATTTTAAGACTAGTGTGATTAAGGATTGTGTTTTTAACTGCTCTTGCTTTGCTGTGGACCAAGCTCCCTTTTTAGAAGAATGTCTGCTCATGTTGTGATTGCACCACAATTCTGCGTACTCCTACCTAGAAGTAAGTCCCACCAAATTCAGCAGGACTTGCTTCTGAGTAGCCGTTCTGAGTGTTGAGCTGTTAGGGACGTTCGCCCCCGACGGCTGAGAGGGACTGGACGGAAGGGAACTCAGATCCAATTGCATCTGGTTGGACGGAAAGGACATTTCCTGGTATGCGGACAGAGAGAGCTGGTAATAGTCTGCAGTTGGTTGTTCTGGAAGAACGCATGCACATCTCCCATATTACGGTCTTGAATAATGAAAAAGGCCTTTAACCTTGAAGTGTATTACTGGAAATGCAGACTGCGGAGTGTGCGTGCTTTTGCAGGCGAGCAAACGTTAGGCTTGGCTTGAGAAACACGGTGGAGTCGCACAACAGAGCCTCGTGTACGGTGGGTGTGTCCTCTCTCTCAGACTCACCTGCCTCTCAGGGTGGTTCAGAGGATAAAATAGAGAGAGGAAGGTACTCCATCCAGGGGTTCTTGGAGGAAACACAGAGATTTTATACTTGTAAGTCTCTTTTCTCCTTTCAGAGGAGCTGAGAAATCATCTCTTTGCCTGTCGGGCGTGACTTCCCCTTGCTCGGACTGTTGGTGATCGTGCAAGCAGGAGAATCCGAGCTGGAAGTCCTCCTAATAGAATGCTGCCAGCCCGGTGGTCCCCAGGTCCTGTGCAGCCATGGACGGACACACAATGACACTCGAACTGGCCACCTGCGCTGCAGCTGAATGGCTGTTTGGTGTCTCTGTCTTTCCCCCATTTTGCAAATCTGGACCAGGGCACGAATCGGAAATCGATTTAGGGATGTCCAGGTAGCTGTCTCTGAACTTGCTCATCTCGTAGGAAGGGACAAAACATTTCAAGCTAACCTTAGAGGACTTTAAAAAAATCAAGGGGCAACCCCTCCATGCCGTTGTGAGTGGCCTGGCGTCGTTTTCCGTGCCCCCTGGTAGTTCTGGATGGTCTGCAACAGCCTTGAGAGCATCATTGGCAGGAAGGTCTACCTGACCGTATCCCATTCCAGAAGCACACCTGTAAAGCAGATCTCAATCCCACTGTGCCAGGAGCCGCATCTTCTTGAATGGAGGTCTAGGAGGACCGCCAGGCATTATTATTTGAGGCACAGAGTCATTGAATGGTAGAGCTGGAAGGGGCCATGAAGGCCATCTAGTCCAACCCCCTGCTGTGGCAGGGCACCAAGTCACACCATCCCACTCGGGTGGCTGCCCAGTTTCTCCTTGAATGCCTCCAGTGTGGGAGAGCCCACCGCCTCTCCGGGCAGCTGCTTCCACTGTCATATTGCTCTGTCAGTGAGGAAGCTTTTCTTGTAGAGCTTTTCCTAGGCTTGCATTGAAGAGGCAGGTTTGGCATTTACCTGCAGGTACAACGAGAAGTCCATGCTCAGTGGCCTTTACTCACCTGTAAGTGAGCATTGGATCGCAGTCCGAGTTTCCTACCAGGGCCCTAGTACCCCGGCTCAGCAGTTTCCGGAAACAACCATGAATCATGGAGTTATATCCATGATAGAGGCAAAGTGGATCTCTTGAGAAGGGAAATGATTCCTTGGGGATTGTATTTATGATGATCTCATTATCGAACTCTTGCCTGTCTTCTGTCAGGGAAGAACTCACCGCAGTGTTAGATTTCTTAGAGGGTCTCCCATCCAAGTACCAGCCAGACTCCAGTCTGCTTAGCTTTACTAAGATTCCGGCATCATGCACCTTCAGTCCATGCTCCGGGACATACGCCTCCCCCAGTTCCCCGCGGTTATTATCTTGGCAGAGGAAACCTTTTCCAGAAGCATTGGCCTTGGGGGCACTGTACAATATTCATAGCTCATTAGTGGTCCTACACAGCTTGCTTTTAGACTGGGATGTATTATAAATGTTAGGAGTCGCGGTTCTGTGCCCCTTGGGGTTCCTTTATAAGAGCATGAAATAGGGAATCTATGCCTAGCCATGCCTTTTAAAGTCCAAAACGGTTTGTTGCATTGGGCAGCAAAGAGGCAGGGCCCCCGCCCTGCTCACCCCTCCACCTGCCACCCCTCGGCTCCTCTTTCTTGCTTTGAATGCGTTAGTGCAATAGTGTCTCTGGGAAACTTGGCGCTGCTTCAAGACGATAAGGTTTTCTTGATGGGTTTCTTCTGGACAGCCCACCTTTTGCAGCACATAACATTTGCTTGAATCCTCCATGTTTTCTGCACATAATATGTATATTTTTCCCACTCATTTTTCCTTGTGCCTAATTGGAAGAGGAAATCGGGTGAGCCAAACTCTCCATGTGTGTGTTGAATAAATGTGTGATCTTTTTCTTGTGACTCAAGAGCACTACAAATATATGTCATTGGAATCTCTGACTAAATGACAAATTTACTTTGGTTTTATGCTGGTTTAACTGCCCAAATTTCCCTCCCCACCGCCAGAAGGTTCTTGGGAATTACAGAATGTGAAAGTCTCGAGGCCGCTTGGTTACAGAACTGCAGCATAAAACGACAGATTCCTGGGGAAAGCGAATGACATGCAAACTGGTTTAAATTTGTAATGTAAATATGTTATGTAGGAACAGTTGCTCCTTTTGGGTTTGCCCTACAACAATCCTCCCATCAGCCCTGTTTCTGTAGCTGGGGGCCTTGGGTTCTGGCATTTGTCTTTGCTAATGGCTAATGCCACCTGTTGGTAGAACTTGAAAAGAATATTACCATTCTGTGGCCTGGTTTTTGCATAGCACCAACATATAATATGGGATGATGAATTCTGGGTTGTTGTGTGATGTGCAGGTGACCACACTAAGCAACTCTGGTTTGTTAACCTGGAAAGAGAATGGTCTGTTCCTGGGTAGTGAACTGTGGATTGAGAACTCAGAACCATGGGTTGTTTATGGTTCTAGCAAGTGGCAAGCAAGAGTAGTCCAAACACCTGGTATTGCAGTGCCACAGTGGTATTTCAGATAAAAGGAAATGGTGGGCAAAAGAGGAAGGAAACAAACAACCTAGGTACTGAGTCAACAAACCATAGTTTGTTCATTTCTCTGTGTGATGTTCTGAGTATGGCAACAAGCCATGGGTGAATGCTGGGTTAAATAAACCATGGATTAGCATTATACGCAAGCCAGGCCAGTAGGTAATTCTAAAATTTAGTGAATGGGGATGTTTCCAAAAATCCTTGCATTTTTAAGCTCTTCTCACCAATCTGAATTGATATGTCTCCATTTTTTTCTTTTTGTCTTTGTCCAGTACACCTCCAGCATGAGAGCTAAATACCTCGCCACCAACCAGCCTCGGCCGGACTCTGGCAGTGTGCATTAAAAAAAACTGGAACATGTTTTAAGTACATAACAGAAAAACAGGAACAAAACGTGCCAGCTGGTGCCATTCTATGCTCTCCTTGCAGAACTGCTTTTGTTTCCCCCCCTCTCTCCGGAATCCAGTTGCTTTCCCTGCTTCTTCTCCCCTCTGGCCTGATACCTGCCCACCTGGGGCAAACCTGTGTGGAACCTGCTTACAGATTCTGGCTCGGCTTGCTTGCACCGTGTGCTTGGAGAGAGAAACGATTCGCATGCATGCGCACACGTGCCGAAGACTCCCGCTTCCTCCGCATTTGTCGGCAGCCAATTGGAAAATTGCGAGCGGCTCGCCTTCACCCTCGTCCTCTCCCGAACCCAGAGGGGATGAAACGTGTCTGGTGACACGATCCTAGAAAAAGCGAATCCTTGTGCGGGAGCGCTTGCGGCAGTCCTCTTTCGAAGCACCCTTCAGTTCAGACGCCACCCTTGAGCTTGGAAACGCCCGGCTCTTTCTGTAAATCTCTCCCCTCCGTGCTGCTTCGAAGACAACTCTCCTTCTTCCGGCATCAACACATCTCTCGTTCGTTTCTTCCATTTTCGAAAGAGAAGGTCTGCAGACTGGATCCTCCACTTCTGTGGGTATTGGATACCTCCAGTTCAAGGTGGCTTCTCTCTCTTTGCACCTGGGGAGCAGTCGGGGGCTTCCTGTACCAGCTACGCTAAGCATGTGCACACACACAGACACCACACACAGACACACACCGTTTGTGCTGCAATTCGCCCGTTCCACTCGGTTGCTGCACCTCCTCATAGCGATCAGCAAAGAGCCTCGGAGTTCGATGTACAAACGTGAAACTGGAGCCAGCGGTCCTTTCGGTGCCAAAACATGCCAGGAAAATATGTAAGAAGCATTTGTCAAGCTAAGGGGAAGCATCTGGACTCTGCACTTCTCTGCCGGGTGTGCATTTAGCGTGCAACGAGCGCAAACAGGAGTGCTAGGGCGAAGGGGTCCGTAACAGACGGGGTCCCGACTCGCTGGCGGAGTAGATTGTCCAGCCACGGTCTGACTGACGCTTCCGAGTTCGGAGGCCTGCCTTGGGTCCTGGAGTACTGACTTCCGGTGTAGTTCTCGGGAACTCTGCAGTACATCGGAACACGCGCGGCTCTCCTGTATCCCGGGATCAGAAAGCAAAGCAAAGGCCAAAGCTTGTGACGCCCCAGCACATTTACGGAGGGGGGTCCCATCCTGCTGTGGGCGGTTGTGCAGCTCCCGCCTCTAAATTGCACAGACTGCGTGTGGCCCAGCTCCAGGTGCCTCCGGAGGTCCAAATCGGTGCTTACCTGCTCCACACTTCCAGCTGCACTGAAGATGCTCTGTATTCAGGGAAGAAGTTAGTCCTTGCAGGGAAGCACTGGACAACGCTTCACCTTCGGTGCTCCAGGTTCCCGGAGAACTCAGTCCTGCAGGGGGTTGAGAGAAGCCCGGGGAACACTCTAGTGTCTGCTGGGAGAGACATCTTGGTCTGGTTTCCCTCACGTGGTTGCGAGAACCGTGGCCACCTCAAACGTGTCCCTACAGAAGGCATGACTAAATCAGACCCTGTTGTGATCACTTGGCTCACAGAGGAAAACTGGGACGCCTTTCAGTGGGAAGATGCTTCTTCCAAGTCATCATGTGCAGAGATACTCTTTTCAGGTTTCTGGCTGAGAAGATGGAGGAAGCTAGAGGACCGTAAATGCCTGGATGCAGGGCAGGAAAAATGGATAAAGCCATCTCGTCAGTTTTCAAAGAAGCTCAGGGTCAGTCGATCAGCTGTATGTGCATACAAACAGCCCAAGAACTAAGTGCACCGTTCAGTCGAGAATGAAGGAAACAGAGCATCCGGTATTATCAGGAGAGTAGACTAACATTTTGGGCCGGGCAAGACGCAACACCTCAGGTCTGGGGGCCAGGCCTGCCCTTGCAGGGCTCCTCAGAAAGCCTCGGTCTCGCCCACTCTTCTCCAACCAGCAGTGGTCCGGCGTTTTTTCTGGGTTTTGTGCATTTCCCCGCATTCTAAAAGACTAGAGTTAAGCCTTAGCAAAGACACGAAGAGTGTCTAGTTACAATAGGCTCGCACTTTTGGTTTGAGGCCTGGCCCATCCCTGCAGCGTGGGCCTCCCAGGTGCTGCTTCAGAGTACAGTTTGTCCCTTGGGGTGAACTACTTTATGGAAATCAAGCAGTTGTGCAAATTAGCCAGCCCTCTCTACTGCAAACACGCACACCCCCAGCCTCTTGCGAGAGAGCTTCCCCTCAGCCCGGGCCGCACAACACCTGCCTTTTCGCTTGTGAGGACCGTCGCCCTTGTTCCAGAGCCACAAAGCAGGGCGTGCCACCCAGTCCCACCTGGGGTCCACAGCTCATCCTGGCTTTCCTGAGGGTACCTGCCGTGCGCGTGTTGCCCAAACACCTGTCTGTCCCTGGTTCACAGTTCGAAGTACGCACCTGAGCAGGAGGTTACTGGTGCACCCCTGAGCTCGCTCAGCATCCCTGCTAATTGCATGGGGAAGGTGCCCTGAAGGGCCCTCCTTGGGGTAGATTTGAAAGGCAGGCAAGGTGCCCCTTCCAACAAGACCCCCTCCCCACTCCTCGAGTTGGAAGAGCAAGGCACCTAGTCACTGCTAGTCTTAACGATCCGAAGGAAAGGACCAATAACCCGCCACAATAACCAAGATACTCCAAGGAGTAGCCACTATTTACACAGCAGAGGCCTGCCAGTGGTCGCCACCCGCAGATTTGCGCTGCCTCCTCAAGTGACTTTACAAGGACATGTAATACTACAAGACACACGGCAAGGTCTCTTGGATCCCGCCGGTTGGAAACGACTCCTCAGCTTCCGTGGAGACTCGCCGTACTGACCCGCCCCGTTTGAATTCATGCAGGATCTTGGCATATTTCAGTCAAATAACTCAACTTGGTTTTTTATTGAAACCGTACAGAAATACGGATTTCCAGGCAACACCAGCAGCACCGGGGGGGAGGGGGGATCTCCCAGGGCAAGTCTCAACGGATCTACTTCAGAAAACCGGGGGATCGTGCATGTGCGGAAGGAGAAGCTCATGCGTCGGTGTCCTGCAGGTGAGAGAGGGGCTGTACCATCTCTGACAAGGTACCGGTGTTCGCTGCAGGGCTCCAGCTTTCCTGCCGTCATGTCTTCTCCTGCCTCCTCGAGAGTCAGTTTCCAAGCAGGCTGCTAACTGGCCAGCGGTATCTCTGAGCCGGCTTCAGCGCCTAGCAGGGCTCTTAAGCGTTTTTGGCATTGCGAGTGAAACCGACAGAAGACTTTATTTTTCTCTTTGCGTAAGTTGTTTGAGTTTTTAAATAACGTGACGAAACCTCAGCCCCCCTTTGCTCGGAACGAGCCCTGGCCAACTTCCTCAGCAGCTCTCAAATGCCTTCAAGACCGTTGCCACACGTTTTTCTCGGCGTGACGTTTCCCGACCTCCGGAGGAAGAAGTGACCGACATCTGGTCCTGAATCCCAGCGAGGTGGCAGCATACTGAATCGGGGAACTGGAACTGTAGCGACTCGACATTTTTGTTCTCCCCTCCCTCCCGAAACTCTGCACAGCACACACATGGCCATCTGCTTGTTCCATCAATTCAGTTGTTTTTCCTTAGCATAATCACAGCACTTTTAAAACCAACAACGAAATTGTGAACCGAGAACCTTTTCAAGCACACAAACATCTCCACAATGTGAAATGTATATAGCATGTTTGGACTCCTGACGTCCTGTGTTCCAGGCTGCATTGTAATTTAAAAAAAGAAGAAGAAAGAAATCGAGACTTGGCTGTGAATTTATTTTTGTGTGTGTGCTGTCTTGAAAATAAGTGTAGTATTTGTATCCTATATGTAATATTAGCTGACTCCATTTTGAGTTCACTTTTGCTTATTTTTGCTTTTTTTAAGGGTTCAAAGCAAGAACTTGGCATTCATCCATGTATCCAAACCTGGGGAGGTGGATTCTCCTTTGCTGTTTCCAGTCTTGCTCAAGATACCCCTTAGAAAGTACTTTAATCTGGTGCTCCAGGCTGGCTCAGCGTAGTAGTGACGGAAAGCGTAGCACTGAGCGGGTTGACCCTGGCCTTGGTGCAAGGGTGGGTCTGCAGTTCAGGAAGCCATACCGACACGCACGTTTGCATGTTGCCATAATCCGAGTGCATTCGCTAGGGAAAGACTTCCGGGGATGGTGCATCCCTGAAGATTGCAACCCAAGACGGGCATCGGTTGCCCCCCAGGTATTGCAAACCAGCCCGGCTTGTAACCCCCACCCCCAGCCAAACACCGCAGGCTTTCAGGGACTCAGGATTCTGCCAGGACATCAGGAAATTTGCAGATGAGCCTTCCACGGGCCGCAAAATGTGCATTCGGCATGGGGCATGCGGGCTTGTGTTTGCCTTGAGATTCTTGTTGCTGAGCATGATTGAGAAAGCACATGGAGTTGTGGACGATTGCTCCCGTCTCTTTATGAACGCCCGTGTGTTCCCATCCTGCATAGAGGGATGCTGAAAGCAGGAAATCCCTCGTAGCCTATTGGAGCAACCTTGTCCCCGTGGCCGCCTGGGCCAAGAGAGGACGGAGAGCGCCGTGGCACCCCACGCAGCGGCTGGGCTTCCTGGACTGTGCTTGGCGATGGCTTCGCTTCAGAACAGGTGGAGAAGGGGGGAAGGCTGGTTCTCTTTTTACCTCTGGGCTTTGGCATTCCATCAGCTTGCAGTGCGAATTCCCTGCTCTGCGTGAAAGGGGGAGAGGTGCAGGGCTGTGTCTTTCGGCTCGTAACTGGCGTAGGCTTGGATGTGTGAATCGTTACTGCAGGTTCGCAAGATTTCATAGGGCGCCCCTCAGTGGGCACAAGCTTTTTTGATAAGGCCGTTCATCACCTGCTGATTTTTTAAAAAAATTTGAAGCCGCACCATCTGTTGACTCTTTCGGCTTTGTTCCCCAGGCACAGCCCTCTCTCTCCTCCCTCTCCTTATTTCAGGAGAACATCTGGAGTCTGGTGTGGTCCCTGCTCATGTTTCTCATCCGCAAGGTGGAAGGGAGAAGGCATCCGATCCCCTTTCTGTTCCAGGACTGGTCTTCCACCAGGAGTGGGGAAACTGAGATGTCGGCTCCCTGGACCTTGCAAGCATTTCTCCCACCAGTTTCTGGGATGCTGAGACTTTGCTCCAACCCTTTTCCCCTTGCTGTCAGCCCCACTTGGGCGAAACTTGGATCAGCAAGCACTTGGCATCCCCCAGCCCCAAATTTTTCCCTGTTTACTCTGCTCTCACCTGCCCCTCCTGTATTGAGTGTCTGCTATTCAGGATCCAGTGAGCTGGGTGCCCAGTTCTGCACTCCTGTTTGGACTGTTTGGCGTAGCCGCCCCTTGTCTTGATGTGAGAATGTGCAGGGCCCTCCTTCAGAGTAGCTCTTGAGGCCCTGGGACATCGTAAGCTGCTGTCCCCGTAGCTTTTTGATGTGTGGCTGGCTGGCGAGCAAAGATCCAAACGTGCAGAATGGTGCTGCTGTAGTTGCTGTGGAGAAGTCTGTGGGCCCCCGAAGTGGGAGCTGGGATCCCCTAGATACCTGGTGACGATTCTTGACTTGGACGCATTTGCCGTGCGCGTGGAACCCCAAGCCTCAGTGTTCCTCAGTTAATCATCTGTAAAATGGGTGGAGGCCCTCGCCCACCTGTCCGAAGTTGTGCTTTCGCATCCTGCACAAGTTGCAGGAGTGTGTATATGTCTATGATGGAAAAACAGTGCCCTTCCGTCTGGGGAGCGTTTGGACCAAACAAAAAAAGATTGAGAGCCGTTTTAGCCTGGCTAGAACTTGGGCGCGTAGGAGCAGTATTACCCTTTCTTCTCAGCGTAAACGAGGGGCTGTTCGGATCCTTCTCGGTGCTTAGTGTCTCCAACAACACTGTCCTCTTCTCTATGCAATGTTGTTTTTTCTGTTTTTGCACGGACACCCCACATAATGCTTGTTCGACAGCTCTTCTCCGCAAGGGTGTCGTCTTCGGAGAGCATTGAAGTCACTGGCCAAAAACATGGCTGTTTCTCTTCCCCACTTGGCATCAAGCGTTTGGATGCTTGTAACTAGGATCTTCTGACTTCTCGCCAAGCAGCCGTGGCTGTGCTTGTGTGTCAGCAGCACCTGATGAGCAGGTCAAATTGGGGCAGGGAAGGGTTTGTCTGGAGAAGCTTCCCCTGCTAATTTCCGTAGCTCGGTCTGCTGTGAAGCGCACAAGAATAGGCCGGGAGTTATGTTGTCTTTCCGGCCCCCCTGAAAATCCTAGTGAAGACTCTGGTCTCAGATCCCTTTTAGCAAGTGTAAATGTGAGACTTTCCTGTGGATTTAATTCTTCCAGTGTTTCTGCCTCCCCCACCCCTTCTGACACTTAATGTGCAAAAAAAACCCTTTCTGGTAATGACTCAATCGGCCTTTTTATTTCTTAATCTGATTCTGTTCTGAACCACAACGGTTGCATATCATACCACTTTATATATACATATATAATATAAATATATATAATTTTTTTAAGCCTTTGGACATAACTAGTTCCTTTCAAGTGTTCTGCACTTACCCCAAATGTTTTGAAATTTTGTGGGGGATTAAACTGAGGACTGAGCCCATTTTTGTATCCTTTTGTTTTATTAAATTGTACTGTAGCTATTTTTTACTGGTTTTGTGGGGTTTTTTTCCTGTTCTGCAAATACTAAACAAAAAAATTCTAAATGTAATTTCTGTGTTTCTATTCCGCTTGGGTTTAATGTTTTAAATAAACATCTTTGAAAAAACATGGCCCTGGGCTACCGAATCTTTTTTTTTTTTTAAGACCATTATTGCACTGGTCTTGTGGCTTCCTCTTACGGTTCCATGTTTTTGTCATATATTGGGTGCATGTAAGACTGCACATCTAATACACAAGCATGAAACAAGCTCAAATTCTGCAATTCAAAAAGCTAAATGGCTTGAAGATTGCATGAGCTTCTCCGGTTCATAGAATCTTAGAATAGTAGAGCTGGAAGGGGCCATGAAGGTCATCCAGTCCAACCCCCTGCTGTTGCAGGACACCATGTTACACCATCCCACTCAGAGGGCTGCCCAGTTTCTCCTTGAATGCCTCCAATGGGGGAGAGCCCCCCACCTCTCCAGGCAGCTGGTGCCACTGTTGTTTCTCTGACAGTGAGGAAGCTTTTCCTGATGTCCAGCCTGGATCTGGGTGGTCGCAACTTGAGTGGATTATTCCGTGTCTTACACTCCGGCATCAGCAAGAAGAGATCTCAGCCTTCCTCTTTCAACCCATGGCAGAAAGCAGAAGCCACCTCAAGGGCCAGCATCAGCCCGGGATATTATTATTATTATTATTATTATTATTATTATTATTATTATTATTATTATAACATTTCTATGCCGTTATAATTAATATACCTTTCTATATTAAGGTAAAGTTCTGGACTTGACAGTTTTGTGGTTGTCGGGCATCGAGGGTCAGCCAGTTCCAACCCTGGTCAAGGGCCGGGACTCGAAGAGGTCCACTTTGGAAGGTGCTGTCCCTGACACAGCCTGAAACTAGAATTGCCTCTTCTATCACTTCCCAGGTGAGGCAGCTCTCTGCACCCCACCGATGACCTGGCTGGACCAGTCTGCCCCTTCAGGCTGATGGAGTGGATCATCCATCCATTCATTTAAAGCATTTATACCCCGTCCATGCCAAAGGGCTCATTCTTGGGATGCCAGCTGTTCTTGGGGGGAACAAGGCCAGGGCCTTGGGCACATGCAAAGGCTCAGTCTCTGCCTTGCTCACCTTAGACACCATCCTGAATTTGGGTCTTTGCACTTCCTCCAAAATCCCAAATCTTTCTCTGCTGGTTCCAGTGTTTATGCGGCACAAGTTCCACCAGGGGGCAGCACAAGCCTAGAATGCGTGGGACGCATCCCTAATAGAAAAAGGACGGGTGCCAATCCATCTGCCCCAGTTCCTTCGCATGCCGTCCGCTTTTAAGGGGACAGCAGGGGAGAGCCCTGAGCGAGCTGGCTGAATGCTTAACGCGGCATCAAGTCAAGACAGGGCTATTGAGGCAAAAGGAAGGGCCAGGTACAGGTGGAATGAAACACTCCTGCAAACTTCAGGGGGATCCCAATTTGAAAACGGCTCTGCAGGTAGAAAATTTAGCCCAAGCAGACTTGAGCTGGCCTTGAATTGTTCTCACTGGTGTGCACCGACTTTGATGAGAGCAGAGGTGAGGACTAGGATGGGCGAGTCTGTCAATCCAAGTGTCTTTTATTTTCCTGTTCTGTTGAGCTTTTTTCCACATGAGTTTGTGACTTGGAAAAAATGGATTTGCATTTTTGTGTGCGATTTTTGCTTATGTTGCACCAAATGGATAGAACTTTCTTTTGCAAAGTGTTTCCTATTTATATATGTTCCCTCATGTAATATACATTATGTATGTTCCCTCAAGTGAGACAAAGGGAAAGGCTTCTGGGCCCACTGGGATGCAGTATAGGCTGCGAAGGAGATGCTGGCCAAATCCTCGGCCCTCGTGATGATGCTCGTCTAGGTGCAGCCGCAAAAGCAGGTGCTCCTGCAGAGACTCCTGCGGAAAGGGCTCCACAGCCGCAGGGAAGGCTTTTCGCAACCTGTCTCATAAGTCTGTGTGTGCAGCCGGTGCTTCCAGGCCAAGCTTGCTCGTTTGCAGGGGGTGGGGCTCTTGAGTACTCCTAAATGGGCTTCTAGTACGCCTGTTTGAGAGAACTGGGATTGCAAACTCGGTCACGCAGTTTTTGTCCCTAATGAGGAGGCGATGCCCTGGCATGCGCCTGATGCTTCGGCACAAACACAGCTTGCTGGTCAAGGGTTGGCCGATTGGGATCCTCGGGAAGATGAGAACTGCCGGTCCGGTCAGCCGTTGCCCTCCCGTCCGGCTCTGATTAGCCTAAACCCTGTGCACTGTCCGCTGAAGCACCCCGACAAGGCAACGAACTTGGGGGTTGGGAGCAGGCAGGGGATCCAGGAACCCCCAGAGGGCCAAGCTTCTCCTCCCCTGCAATATGCTAATAGCCAAGTCATTCTCCCAGTCCAGAGTCTTTTGCAGCTGAAATGACTGTGCTTCTGCGCCAGGGGGAGTTAGTGGCAAGCTCAGAAGAGCTCAAGGTGTGGAGACCTACCAAGAAACTTTCAGAAAGCCCGCCAGCCACACCAGAGAAGCTCCTCGTTATTCTCAGGGGCCGAATGTGCTTGCTTTGCATGGAACAGGGATGGTCAAGAGGAGGAAACGGAAGGGAGCGTCTTCCAGGAGGGCATGCCTGGCTGGGACAGGACACGAGGCTCTCGAGGCAGCGTGTGCGCACAGGTCTGGCTCATGACAATTTTATGGGACAGGGTCTGTGATTTTATTCCAACACGCATTTCAAGATAGACACACTCACGTATATCAGTAACCGGCCAGAAAGTTGCTTTATTGAAAGCAAAGATGGCTACCACAGATGGTAACAATCAGGTTTAATTCCCTGAGAATACGTTTCCTTGTTATTTCTGTCCCACCCTATTTCTCCTCTAAAAAAAAAAAAAAAAAAATCAAAAACAGAACAAAACACCCCCACAATATGCTACTTTATGGAAGAACAAATGAACAAACAAACAAGAAACTGATATCCCAGATACTGGGACATATAAATTAAGGGTAAGTGATAGTTACAAAAGACTTCTTCCATCACAAACATAGTATGTTATTTTTTTTCCTTTTCTGATCCACAGAATTTTTTTTTTAATCCACCATTTACAAAGTTACATAGCCCTCAGTTTTAGCAAAAAAAAGCACAGTAAATAACACTGTTGCAGTAAGATATTTACAATCGTTACCCAGTATGGGCTATTCTTTTCACTCAGAAAGGAATGCCTCAGCTCTCTTTCCCTGCCCAGGGCTCCGAGAAGCAGAGCGCTGGTCAGGTTTGCGCCTGTCCGCATGCAAACCTGCCCAGCTCTTGGGGTTGCCTGGACTGGGCTGTCGGCCTTTAGATGCTAAAGGTTCACACATGCCGCCTCACATCCCTCCAACAGCGAAGCCGCAGCGACTGAAGGCGGCATGTCGGAAATTTATCACCAAAATGCCCCAGAAGAAACCAGATGTGGGCAGAGGTGTTGCACCGAAGGGAGATGGCAGTGTGGGAAGCCAGAGGCCGAGCCTCCAGGGGGCAAGCTTTGCATTGGAGAGACTGCAAGGACAAGAAAGCACGCCTTTCCCTTCATGCAGACAACGCTGGCAGAAGCTCATCAGCCGGCCTGCTGTCCTGGACCACAATCCTGGGCTGACCAACCTTGGCTCAAGAGCGAGCACCCAGGGTTGCACTTCCCACTGGGCAGTTCCTGCTCCTCCATGTGGCTCTCGGTCACCTTGGTAAAGTCCTCGCGCCGATCCAAGGACTTCATGCGCATGGCCCGTTGCCGTCCCTTGTGGCGCCCCTGGAGGGCTGGCCCAGGAGTGTTCGTGCGCCCGTCCTGGAGCTGGAAGGACTGAGGCTGAGAGTGAGCAGCTTCCCCAAGGTGAAGGCCCAGCAGACGCGAGATTCGAGCGGGAGACTTCCTGGTATGTGACTTCCGCTCTTGGCCACTGTACTGCCATCTCTGGAAAGCAACACCGGGCACATCTCATCTGGCTAATCGCTGAATCCGAGTCCCCCCCCCACCCCCAAGGCTCTCGGGACTTAACAGTACAATTCTATGCAGGTTTTCTTGCAAAGAGTCCCGTTGTGCTCATGGGGCAGCGGGCAAATATAGCCTAGTAAAAGTGTGTAGGTACCAGTCACAGCAGCCATCCCAACTTGCCCCCTCCAGGTGTGTGGGACTGCAGTCCCCATCATCCCCAGCTGGCTGGGTGATGGGATCTGTAGTGCAACACAGCTGGGGGTGTTGGAGGAATTACACCGGTAAGGCAGTGGAGAATGCCAGGGTCTGCCTCCACGCCAGGGCTTCTCTCCCTTCCGTGCAACGTTAAAAGCTGGGGATCCAAGAGGCCAGCTCTCAAACAAGACATTTCAGAAAAGCGGCCCTCTGTAACTCAAAGGGCACTTAAATCTCACACACACAATAATGACGGGGAAGAATTCCAGAGGGGAACCCACAACACACTCACAGCAACAGGGGCACACACGGGCGTCTGTAAACCTTCATCTGAAAAGTTATCCGGAGTCTCAGAAGCAGAGACGGGGCGGCGAGAAGGAATGCGCCGGGGCTGATCTCACCGACAGAGGCAGAAACGGAGACCGGAAAAGGTTTACGGCGTGGCCCAGCTCAGCGTTGGGCGCTTCGGCAGCCCGTCGAACGTCAGGGGTGCGGCCTCAGCACGAGCTTCAGCTTCTCCCAGGACCGTTCGCATGTTTTAAAAGTGCTTCATTTTGGCTGGAGTTTTGCCGGGTGTTTGCCTTGCTCGTCTAGTTAACACTTTTAAGAGGAAAGGGAAGAGGAAGTGGAAAGGAAGAGGAAAGGGAAGCGCCGGGATCCAGGCAGCAGTGAGATGGGAGCCCATCACCACGCTTTGTGCAGGAGCACGGCGAAGCGCAGCAGGCGAGAGGCCCGGGTCGCTGACGGAGGGCTCTCCTCGCCCCCGCGATCCGGCCACCGCTGCTTCCCCAAGAGGTCAGGGCCTACGAGCCGGTTTGTCCTGCCAGTGGAACGAACTCCTGCCCGGTTGAAAGGGACAGAGGGCAGGGAAGCCCAGGCGCCGCCACACGAGGAGCGCGATGGGGCGGGCGGAGGGGATCGGGGCCACACAGCAGCCTATCAAAACGTACACACACTGTGAATTAACCACAGTAATTAAGGGGCAGTCGCTTTCCAGCAAAGGAGACACGCACACGCAAGCACGGGGGTCCCACGAGCTCTTCGGATACCGGGGAGTCTCGGGACGAGGTTCAGAAGGGGGGGCCTCCTGCCGCTTAGTAAGCGACGTTCTGGGGACACCATGGCGTGTCCGGATACAGCAGGCAGTGGATGGAGCGGAACCTGCAAGAATAAGGCCAAGTCAAAGCATGAATCCCGAACCGAGGATCCCAGTTGGGGTATCATAGATTGCTTTCCTTATTTATCTATTGGCCACCTACAGTATGCATGCATATTTAAGATGCGGTACGTCTGGAATCCCACATCGACTAAATATAGGATTGTGCCGTTCAAAACAGGCATGGTCAGACTTGGATAGTTTCTTCGTGTGGCTGTCTGAGTCTGCGTTGGGCCGAATCCAGACGTGGGTTTCGCTTGCCCCTCTGAAGTCGGTCAGGACTGACTCGTGCCGCCAACTTCACGCCCCTGAGCATGGCCCAGCCTGGGTCGGATTGTTGCTTCTAACCGCCCCCCCCCCCCAAACTCTGCCCACCTCTTGCAAATGGAAATGTTTTGTCAGTGGGCGGGACTTTCCAAGAAGGATGGTGGGGGCTGCGGGTTGCCCCTTCCCTGCGAGCCCCTGCCGCTCACCTGGACGGATCCTCCTCCACGGAGAAAGCCCCCTTCATGTGGATCGCATTGCGATTGTTTTCAAACATTCCGTAGCTCAAGGTCACCTGGGGAGGGAAAACTCTCAGTCTGAAAGCTCCCCCCCCCCCCCCCAGCCCGGACTTGGGTCTCCCTAGTCTTCCCTTTGGGGGTGTGCACACATCAGCCCCCTCCTCCTAGTGCCTGCCAGATGTTCTGAGGAATGCTGAGAGGCACAGTCTGAAGCATCTTTCCAAAAGTTTGAGAAAATAATACCCAGGATTGCTACCTTCTGAGCACCGGAGGGCATCCCACACCCCTCCCGGCCCACCTCTCCTATCATCCCTGCCTGTTGGCTGTGCATGGAAGGGTGGTCTTGCGCCGCCCACCCTGCCTCAGACGACCGCAGGAAGCAAGGACTCCCCGTACCTGATTGTGAATCTCCGACTTGGGCACCTGGTGGAGGTTCTCCAGGTGGGAATGGAAGAGGTTACTCCGGGTGAGCTTCACCCCCAGCACCGATTCTATGATGTACCCGATGGTGCAGTCGTCCGGGAGCCGAATCATTTCTGCGGTGCTCATGAAGTGGCCCCCGCTGTAAAGACGTCACAGAATGAAGCCGCAGCCAGTATTATGGGATATAACATGCACAATGCTCCCTAAGGTCAGTTGGGAGGAATAACTGCATTTTCTCTACCTGGTTTTTAAACACAAATGATGACAAACTGACCTCATATAAACCCCCGAAGTATTATACATTTTTTAAAAAACCAGGGCTTTTCCTAGCTCTAGATTGCCCAACCTCATTCTTAGAGGGTTCTCTTGAACTGATCCACCTCTGTATTTCTTATCTGGAAAAAGATCCACACTGGATCTTGGGAATGTTTGCCCAGGTTACATCTGGAATGTTCATCTTGCTTCAGGATTCAGGAAATATCTTGTTGCTCACATTCTTGGCCTGATGCAACTAGCCAATGAACAAATAGCTCACCCTTGTACTAAATAAAAAATCAAGGAATTACTTGTCTTTGTACTAAATTGAGAAACAAGCACATATTGAATTAGTGGGCTTCTCAAGCTATGAATACTTCAGTCACAATCATTGGCCCAGGGCCCAGAATCTCAATTTTGACTTATTTTAAAGCCACGCACAGACAAATGGGTTTCTGGTCCTTGAGACTGCAAAGCCAGTTTGCCTCCAGGGTTTGCAAAACGCCCCTCAAACCGCAGCTGAGAGGAAAGCCACTTAACAATCGTTACCAAGCCATGGGGAGGAATTCAAAGAGGAGTCGAAGGGTCTGGGGGGAAGCGCGCTATGGCTCTGCTCCATCCTTTCCGACCTCTCAGTTGCTAAGATGCTGCGGCTATATGCTTGCACGATCCATCCACTGCAGCCCTTGCCTCTGGATTTCAAAAGGGCAGTTATCCCTTTATTTTCCTGACGATTAGGACCCCGAGGGTGTGGAACGGGCTTCCACGAGAGGCCGTTGAGGCCCCATCGGTGAGGGTGTTCAAGGACAGGCTGGACATGCACATGGTGGGCATGTCGTGAGCAGAGCCAGACGGAGCCGGGGGTCAGACTAGATGGCCTGGGAGGCTCCTTCTGACCCGCTCTGTTTCTGTGTTTCTGACCCAGTGTGAGGCCTGTAGTTTCTCTCTGGATCTTTGCGAGGAGCCTTCGGGAAAGTCTCGCTGGGGATGCGCTGGAAGCCCTGGATGGAGTCTTTGCCACATGCATGATTCCACCTCGCCATCCCGTTTGCAACCAGGTGGTAGTCTTTAGAAGCCGCGCAAAGGAGGGCGCAGGGTGGGTGGTGGATCCTTACCTTGCCCATGGGCTCATCTTCAGTGCCAGGCCACGACTGATGCAGAAACCGGCACCACCTGTGGCGAACCAGAAGTGGACCGGATGCTGTGGGGTGGGAAGCATCGAAAGAACAGGAATCAAAGCCCGGTTCAAACCCCTCCAGAAACTTCCTGCGTGCTCAGCTCTCCGACTGCCACCAATTCCGAGCAGTGGGACAAGTGACAACCAAAAGAAGAGCCTCCTCATGTAGGGCCCCCCCCCAGCTTTTTTAGGATGCCCACTGAAGGCATCTTCCCAGTATGTGAATTTAATATATACATGAAATTTCTCAAACATTCAGAGCAGACGGAATAAAACCATTTTTCGTGCAATGTGCAATCTACATAATTCACCATACTCAAGTTGGGATGAGTTTAGAAGGACATGGGACAAAGAACGAGAAATCTATAGAGAATTGAGTGCCTCCAGAGCTAAATAGAACCTCCATGGCTGAGGGCAGTCTACCTTAGAACTACAAGCAAGAGAAGAGGATGACTACATGCAGGCCCTCCAGGCTTTCCAGAAACATCTGACTGGCTGTTGAGGAAGGATGCGGGCCTGGACGGGACCCTGCAGGCTCCTGCACTGGACGACTGCTAAGCCTTCGGCCCATTCACACATTTTGCTCCTGTCTCTCAGTGACCTCAAGGGGCAACCTGCATGTGAGAATGCACACAAGCCCTGCAGAGAGAACCTCGCTCCTCTTGGTTCAGACAGTGCCTTGATGGAGACCCCGAAGGCTGCCAGGCTCAGGCCTCCAGGCCTCGCCGCTCACCATCTGGCTCTCGCTGATCCTCTCCGTCGCCTGGATGGGTCTGTCCAGGCTCGGCTTCCCGATGTAAATGTCTTGCGTGTGAGGATAGCTGGAGAGCAGCTTCAGCAGCATCCGCACATTCACGTAGTTGTCGTCGTCCACGTGGCAAAACCACCTGATGGTGAGAACGGAAATGGGAGGTCTCTGCGGGCGGATTCAACCCACACGTCAGCACCGCTGGACTTGGGGGCCCAAGGTTAGGTTCTGGGGAGCACACCGAGCCCCAGAAAATGCAATTTACATAGGCTAATCAGGCCTTCGTTAGATTTATATCCCACTTTTTTTCTCATCTCATTTATATCCCACTGTTTTATCTCCACCACCTGCTCTCAGTCTTCTCTGCACAACCACCCTGTGAGGTAGGCCGGGCTGAGAGTCTGTGACTGGCCCAAAGCCACCCAGTGGGCTCCATGGCCGAGCGGGGACTCGAACCCAGATCGCTTGAGTCCCAGTCCCACGCTCTTCACCACGACACCGCACTGGCTCCCTGGAACGATCGAAGCAGGAAAGACAGACTAGGACCTATTTAAGCGCCGTAGAAGCTGCCACCATGCAGAAAAGGAAGCGACATGGAGCTGCACCGCCTCCGGACCGTTCCAAATCAGCACCCCCACTTAACGAACACGAACTTGCAGCCTCTCGCTGGCCGGGTCTGAACCACAAGCAAGTCGTGACGGGTTGTGAGTCAGGCCTGTTCTGTCATCGAAACCCAAGCTAACCTCGCGGAGGCTGCTCTGGCTGGGTCCAGACAACACGACAAGCCCTCCTGTACCAGGCGTGGCTCACGGCCCACCAAGGCTTGCCAGGCCGCGCGAGGATCAGCTCCATCTTCCCCTTGCCCCTCTTACTTTCTCCCGGACTCGATGAACTTGTCGTATTCCACCGCCATCTTGCAGGACAGGGCCTGGCGGCTGTGGGCAGCCGAGCAGTTGGTGTTGATGACGTTTGCTGGGGGTGGAAAGGGGCAGAGGGTCGGCGTGAATGAGAGGCGCTTTTAAGCCTTGCTCGGGGCACACTCCACGAGTGGGCAGGCGACTCGCTAAGGGACAGCGGGGTCTGAGCGGCGGCCCTTTGTCCCCAGCGCCGCCTGGCAGTGGCTGTCCCGGTCACTGGGCGGAGGCATTCCCCACCCCTGCTGCCAAAAGCAGAGAAATCTGCGGCCGATCCAGGTAAGTTGGCCTTTCGTGGAATCTGATCTGGGAATTTCTGCAGCTTCTTCGAAGTTGCTGGCTGGTTTTCCTTTTTGGGGGTGGGGGTGGGGGTGGGGGGAAATTTGCACGAGTGCCCCTCCATCCTAATTCGTGCAAATGCACACTCACACAACCAGGACAATGTTCCCCAGCGGCGCTAAAGAACGCGGATTCTCTCAAAGAGGGGACAGCCGAGTTATGTCATCGGTGTGAGGGTGCAGCACTCCAAGGGTGCTCGCACTGCAAGGATGTCCCAGGATTCCTTGGACTGCTGCAGAGGATTCTGGGAGCACACAGGCACCTCCAGCTCACACCATAGCCAAGGGCTACAAAAGGGCCCAAACTGCAGGGTTCCCCGGTGGCCAGAACCCTGGACAATCCATCCGGGGCCCAAGAGGGTCCCGGACCCCCTTGCCTATTGTTCAATACTGGGGGAAAGGAGAGCAGCGCATCCCTCGTGCCGCAACTGTTTGACCAAAGAGATGGCTCTTTGTTCCCATGCACAGACGCCCAGACTTAGCTGCAGTTAACTCAGAAAGGGGAGAGGGTAACACGCAATCTGCTTCCCCCCCCCCTTGGATGAATGGGGGCGGGAATGTGGGGAGAAACTCTTGTCCTCTTTCAAGCAGCATTTTCCCATCAGCTGCCACCTGTTACTGGCTGGGATGTCTCGAGGGGAATCAATTCAGGCGATGAATAGAAGATATTAGCATCCGAAGAATAGAAGGATCTGACCCTGTTTTAAGAGGGGGAGGGGCTGCTTCATAAACACTGGCTGAGTAAGTCCCCCCTCCCCATGTTGGAAAGTTAATCAGCCGCTTCCCTGGGAACCCAGGGCAGCTTTCTAAACCCCAAGCAGGTCAACTCACCTGTCCTTGTCTTCAGCTCCGGGTCCTCCCCATCCGTGAAGACGAATGTCTAAAGAGGTGCAGAGAGAAAATACAGAAATATCAGTGGAAACGTGAATTGGCAATGCCCCCAGATCGGTCTCGCTACCTCCGAGGTGCATCCCCGTCGTGCAATAACGACACCGTGTTGTTCCAGTCACTCATCTACTCGCATACACAGGCTGCAGCGGGATGAAAAATAAATTCTAAAAAATGTCATTGCGGGGGCGGGGGGGAGAGCACCGCGACGGCCCTGAGCTTTGTTATTTCTGGAGACCAACGCAGAAAACGAACGGGGAAGTTGCCGTGTGCCCAAGTGCCACAGTGCGGTTTTGTGTCTGGGGGCTCCGTTCCCACCCGTGCTTTGTACGCAAGCGCCTGCTTTTTTCGGCTTCGCTTTGGGGCCAAACGCGCCACCTTCGACAGGTGCATGGCTGCCCAGCTTTGAGGCCAGCCCTGCACGGCCTTATCGCTTCGGCCCCGTTCGTCCACCCCCCGCAAGCTCCGGGGCCCCGTGCGGCTGTCAAGCAGCCCAATCGATATCCGTGCTCGCATTACTCCGGGGCGCGAACGCCCCTTGGCCAGCCCAGCAAGCTCCCGTGGCTTCCGCCCCCAGCTAGCCCCGTGCCCAGCGCCACTGGGCTGGCTGATCGGGCGGCGTCAGGCGCCTCGCCCTCCGTGCCGGGGGTCCGCCTGCCCCGCGGCACCTGCCCAAGGCAGGGTGGCTCCCAGCAGACCTCCACCATCGCCCCCCCCCCCCCAGAACAAAACCCCAGCCTCTCTCAACTGTTTCACCTCCAACGGCCACCTGAACCGGCGCCAAGCTAGCTCGCCACACCTTCCCTCGCATACCTGCCACCTGCCTGGCCGCACTTTCTTATTTACATAGGTAATTCCTGGCATCTGCTGCCTGTCTGGGGGGGGGGGATGGGGGGCACCGCCTGCTGCTTGCTTGGGCTGGGAGGGAGGAGCGGGCGGGGGGGTCAGCAAAGGCTCTCAAATCACTCCAATTGTAGGAAGACAGAAAAAAGGGGCGGGGGAGTGGGAAAAATACAGCCGCTGCCAAAACGTTTATTAAAAGCAAGAAGGGGGGG